TTGGCTCGGGAACTCTGAACCTTTAAATGACTACATAGGTTTCTGGTTTTTCTTTTGGTTAAAAAGCAAAACCTTACAAAGGAAATAGGCCTTCTGGCCACATCCCAAGATCAGGCCCATGGAAACCTGGAGATTTAAAATCTATGAAGGTTTAGGTCTGTTACTCAACAGCCACTTCTATTATCTTGAGGCTGGATGAGAAAAGATAATCATCGAGTCCACTCCCCTGGGCTAACAGATAAGAAAAACCAAGGTCCAGAGAGATGAAGTAATTTCTCCAGGTTCCTGCAATGCATTGTTCTCTAGAACCAACTGACACACGGTTGGTGCCCAGAGAAGTTTCTAAGGGCCACTCCAGAGTGCAGGGGGTCTGTTTAAGACGCGGTCCATCATGATTTTAATTGGTATTTCAAGTAGAACATCAGCTTACTAAAATGCCTTCTCCCTGACACACTACTGCATCTCTCTGGCCATGATATTTGCCAAAAGGCCTGTGTAAGACACACGGTGCTGGCTGGGGGAAAGCAGAAGCCAGAAAACTAGTCCCCGAAAAGTCCTCTTTTAAAGTAATTTTGGTCTGGCTTTGCTTTTTTTAATTCCTTAAAGTCATAAAATATAAAATTAACTAGAAATGATTTAAAAGTAAAACCTCCAGAGACATAACAATGATTGTTTTATACCTATGTAAGAATCAGACTTTCCCAAACAAGCCAAACCACCTGAGGATGGATTCTGATGCCTTAAACACCAAGACTTCTGAGTGTGGCAAGAAATGTTTGGTGACCCAGTATAGTGACATAAAATGATGCAGACATTTTCCTCCTTTAATAGGCAAATGTAACTGAATATTCACTAATGTGGCCCCGTTCAGAAAAGGCTAAGCCTAATGTTCAAAAAGTCTCAATCATAGAATATCTTCAAGAAATAGTTGGTGCTTCTTTCAAGTTTAAATAGAACATTTACCAAGTACTTCAACATTTTGGGTACTATATGCAAGACACAATGACTGGGAGCAATAACTATTCTTACATTAAACGTGTATAAAATGATTAATAATTAGTATACCAATGTTTTTTTACCAAGAAACGGTGTTTCTGAAACAGATAAGGATGTCTGAAAACAGTTTTGTGTGGCAATATTTGTAAAGCATACGACAGTTTTAAAAGCGTATTTCCACATCAGTATGTCTCTGATTCTCACAACAGTCATGCTTGTATAGAGTTATACAGTAGTGAGGACAACTGACAACACAGCTGGGGAAGAGCAGACGCCTGACTGAGAACCAGGTTTTCTGTCTTAAGATTCACACCTCGCACTGACCCCAGAATCTCATTCATAGTGTCAATTCTCTTAGTAAATCCTCTCTTAATCAATGAAGGAGAGACTCTGTACCAGCCCTAACAAACAGACTACAAATTCTAAGGTGAGGAGAGTTAAAATTAATGGAGTTTTCTTGAAAAACAGAAAATGGGCTTAAGATTTTAAAAGGTCACTATCAAGGCCTTAGCCCTTTAAGATGTCTGCTAAAAGCCAACACTACTGTAAACCACAGTAACTTCATTAATGAGGAACTGAAACTCAATAGCAAATTTTATTTACTAAAAAGACAAAAATAAGGAGTTAGATAATGAAAAAGATTTACTTATTCAAATAGGGAATATGAAAACATGTCTAAGCTGACAAACACCAAATTTTAAAATAAAAACTCTAAACTGGTATCCAAATCCTTCATCTAGCTCACTGTAAAACATCTATGTTAGCTTAGGATGGATGATGCCTGAGTGCCTGGTACTTTTCCAATGTACAAGAAAAATGTTTTGCATGCACAGCTCCTTCTAAAAGACCATGAGAAAACAGACCCTGGCTTACAGGATGATAAAACAAGCCATCTTATCATTAGCCCTGCCTTATTCATCTTCCCTAAGAGCTTTCATGACAAATTTTAATTTATAGAAATTGCATTTCAGGAAGTTGTCCTTCATCGCTGTAGTCCCACAGCCAGAACTACAGTGTGCACAATCGTGTGGCCACCACCACAGCAGGCACGGGAGGACACCTGGTGCCAAGGTCTCTCAGGGCAGCCTTGTGTCAACCCGCCAGGTCTCACGCTCTTCATCTCCTGCTGAAGCCTGGGCTTGTCTGTGAATACAAAACCAACTAGCTTCTTATGAGAAGTTGTTCCAGGAGCATTCACCCAGAGGGAACACATTTTGGAAGTACCAATTACACAAGAAAATAGACTCTGCTTCTGTATGAATAATATAGTAAACGGATCTAGAAACGTTCTGGATTCTTTCCAATAAATATCTGAGAAATGTGTGAATAAATGTTTGAATGTAATGATGAGAAAATGTAATGACTAGAGAAATACTGTGTGCAGTATTATATGCCAACACGGATCCAATACAAACTTTATGTGCATCCAACTATTTGCCCTAAAAAACAAAAACAAGGAATGAAGACAGATTGGTTAAAATAAGAGAAAGACTAGAAGAATTTTAAAGGAAAAGGAAAAGAAAAACGAAAACCATACCTAAAACCTAAATATACAGGTGCCCAAGTTAGGAGCTTCTGGCAAAGTGACAGTGAAATTTCACAAGGAAAACTACAAGGGCACCAAGTCAAGGTGAGTTTGAAAGTATGCAAAGCAGCGGAGGCCTGCCAATAAAGGCACTCCTTTCAGAACACAATGTCTCTTCCACCTGCTTTATCAGGTCATCAGTGACAGCAGCTGGGGACCCTTGGAACCCTTGGGGGCCACAGGAACTCTATGGCAACTGAGTGCTGCTAAATTTACTTTAAGCAGCAGATATTTTCTGCTTTTGTCCCTTAGGCAATTTAAAGGACTTCACACCTAAGAACTCTCTCTTCTAAATTTCTCATTTTGCAGGAAAAAAACACGAGATCCCTCAATAAAACAGTAAATAAATTATTTAATTCTGTTAACTTATACTGCTTAGGATCCACTGTCAAAATTTCAAAGTTTAAGATCAGGATGCCCACGGGCCGGCCCCATGGCTCAGCGGTTAAGTGCGCGCGCTCCGGTGCTGGCGGCCTGGGTTTGGATCCCGGGCACGCACTGACGCACCGCTTCTCCGGCCATGCTGAGGCCGCGTCCCACATACAGCAACTAGAAGGATGTGCAACTGTGACATACAACTATCTACTGGGGCTTTGGGGGAAAAATAAATAAATAAAATTATTAAAAAAAAAAAAAAGATCAGGATGCCCACTTTAAAGACAGACATCTTCCAAGGCATCAGTTAGTAAGTGCTATATGCTGTAGATGGCTTAGCTTCACCTTAATGCCACATTCTAAGTATGTCCTACCCCGTGAAAACAACTGATATCATATATATGTAAAAGAACATCAATTTTATTTTGTTTTTTTGATTATGTATTCTCATTAATAAGGAGAACCTATGATGGTAAAAAAAAATCAGCACAGGCCAGCTGCCCCTTGAAAGAGACACATGACCTGACTAACATCTTGGTGCTGCCAGTAACTGCCATAAATCACCTGAGAAATTACGGTGCCTCTTGGACCCTCTTTCCTCACCCAGGAATAATTATGTTGACTATACTAGCTCATCTGGTCCTCACATTTTTCAAATGAGCTATTGTAAATGGAAACTATTTTGTTCAAACGTAACTGATTATCACCATCACACAATCAAGCCAGAGCGCAGAAGCATAAGTTACTGGTTTGAAAACACATCTACCGCTTACGTACCTGTGTTGTGCTAGGACTATTAGATGGAGAGACGCCTACACAGAGCATGAGACCCCCACCTTTGCTGAGTCTGCAATCATGGTGGGGATTTGAGGAGGTCAAACCTGTCACTGTGTCACTGGCAGCCACATAACCACAGAACACAGAAAAACCACGATTTAGGCTGACTCTTGTTGCAGATATAAGAATTGCTCTAATCACAATTCCCTTAATCCGTGCGAGTGCTCACGACAGAGTCACATGTGAGCCAAGAGATTGAAATAGCAAGTGGGTATGTCTCACTTTGGGATCAAACTCATTGTTTGTCATGGTAAGTTTTCTAAAGTTCTAAATATACAGTTCTGTTTTCCACAGTGCCTTTTACTGCAAGGGTATTAGCGAAATCGTTTCTGTTTATAACAGCTCCATTTACCTTCCCACTCTTTGTAGGCCTCTAGATACTCAAAAGACCGGTCATCTAAGGGGCTAGAACAATTCAATAAGCAATGGAAGGGGATTTACTGAGTGTCCAATGTCTGCAGTATCTGTGCAGGGCACAGAAACACATCCTTCCTGCTCTCCGACAGACATCTGAGGTGCCAAGAACCACAGGCACAGTTTGCTAGCACTTGAAGTGTTCAAGAGCTGGCGAAGAGCGTGGCATATCCGCCTCTGGTGCTCTTGCTCTTGCAGAGAGGAGCACGCTGAAATGGGAAGGGGAGGGAGGAAGACCAACACAGCGTAGTCTCTCCAGGCATCAAGCACTGGGCCAGGAACCATTACTGGTTGTCTCACTTAGTTCTCACAAGAATCTTGATGATAACATCCATCTCTATTTTACACACAAGGAAACTGAGGTTCTGAGGGTGAAATAACTTGTCCAAGGTTCTGGAGCAAGAAAGCGCTGGTTCTAGGACTTGTACATCTGTGTCTCCGAGCCAATCTCGATTTCCCACACCAGACTGCTAGATGCTGAAGGTCAGAAGGAAATGGCAGACCTCTCCTTTTGACCAAAGGAATGGCAACCATGGACATGGGAAATTCCTCAGGGACAGGTCAAGTCCACTGCACACATGGAAAGGGAGTTGGGAACCTATAAATGGCACTGGCCCCTGAAGTGCACTGCTGCTCAGCCACCATGACAGCAATGGGATTGTCACCCTGTATCATTGCATGGGCTGAGTTCAAAGGAAGGGACTCTTTTTTAAGCTGTACACTGATTCACATTCCTCTCTTCCCACACCCTAACTGCACCTCCAGACCTGTCTGTTCAGCACGCCTGGCTCACCTCCTTGTGGGAGTCTTTGTGGGCTTCCAGAGTCTTCATGATCGTCAGCTCGGCGTAGTTTTTAAATCTTGCTGGCTGGTTTCTCAGAATTTCTCGTAAAACTCTCAATGCTAGTGCTCGGATGGAATGCTGGAGTACAAGAGGAAAGAAAAACATCAGCAAACAATACAGAGCGCTTCACTAAACATACCAGTCAGCCAGGTCCAGCAAGCACCCAATCCTGGGTTTCCCTGGCACCTTGCAGACACCTTGAAGCAGATCTCACTGAGGTTCTCTAGATGGCCAGCTCCATAAAAGCAGGAGCTGTGCCTATGGTAATATTCCCAGGACCCGGCACCTAAGGGGCACCCGATGAGGCTTCCTGAATGACCAAAATGAGGACCAAATGAAATCAAATGGGGACGATATATCTAAGTTCATTATCAATCTCCTGGGCATGTCCAGATTTCCTGAGGCTTAGGTATGCAAATTACTCTTTTGTAAAATGGACAAAAACAGAGGTAAAAAGCATCTAAACATTTCAACACAACCTGTAAAACTGTGGACTCTAAGGGCAGCTGGAGACCTGTAGTATTCCTGACCTGCTGTGTGATGAGTTCACGGTGGGGGCGGGATTTGTGCAGGCCTTGAGTTGTCTGAGGCCCGAGTCATATGTCTGGAGGAAAGCCATTCCAAACAGACTCCTAATCTCAATAAAAGAGAATGGAGTTTACACCAAACAGAGCCAAAAAGTACATCCTGACTCTCTGTCACTCATCTGTACAATTCACACACTAACACACCATCTTGCCCTCTATGTGACATCATTTTATCATCCAACAAAGCCCAAAGAAGTGGAAGGGCTTCAGTAGCCAATACTTTGTTTTAAGAAAAATACAGATCTTTTATCACCATTCTTGCCTTTACTCACCTTATGCCAAACGACTATTCCTAAGCATCAGAAAGCAATGAAAAGTCACTATGACATCCACCAGCCTTCTGCTCACCCATCTTCCATTAAAGGCACCATCAACGTGACCCTGGGCATGACCTGTACCATGTGCTCTGCTGAACTTCCTTGAAATCTGTCGGGTCCTGCCCCTCCAGCTCTTCACCACACTTACTGTACTTTTGTTTCTGCTGGGCTACACAAAGCCCAGTGCAGAGAGATGGATTTTTACTTCTAGAGTTTAATTCAGGCAATTCCCAATATTTATTCCTGTCTCCACATAAGGGACCAGCTGCACAGGTGGGAGAAGACTACTCACTCCTTTAAGAGTTATCCACCAGGGGCCACGTGTCGATTATAGACCAGGCATGGCACAAATGCCTAGTTTGTCACATTCAAATGCTACAGTGTGAAGAGAGCTTTTTATTTTAACAACAATAACAGAAGATAATAGAAAATAATAATAATCTACACTTCCGGAACCTGTCACTTGACCAATTAAGATTACTGGAACTCTGAACATATATAGAGGTGAACCAAGACAGAATTTCATGGAATGTAGTATTTAGTAGAGTCTTTTAAAAAATGAACTTCTCTATTTCTTAGTTACACATGAAACATAAATAAAACTCACAAGGGAAAAAGCTCATTATAAAAAACCACACTCTATGCTAATGAAGTTTTAAGAAATTTTGTGTTAAACAAAGTAACCTGATGCAGGAACAAGTTTCCTTCAACTACTACAAACTACAGAAAAAACCCGCATATAAGCTAGGATGGGCCTGTCTCTGATAAAAACATTACGCTACTAATTGGTGCTCAGAAAATATTTGAAAAATGTTTTGATGTAAACAGTAAGCATAATACAGAAAGTAAGGCTGAAGCCAAACCCAAGCAGAAAAGAACTTAATAACCCCCATTACACGGAAGGGGGAAATGGAAGCACAAAGCAAGCTCCTCACATCTTTGTCTCCAAGTGTCTCCAACAGCAAGAGCAGAATGGTCTTGAAGTGCTCCTCCCAGACGCCCAGGCTGTCTTCGCGGGTGATCTTGAGCAGCTCCAGCAGGGCACCTTTCCGCTCCTCCACCCGCTCATTGTGGTTGGACAACTCTTTCAGAAGGTCAGCCACCAAGTCAGAATGGTCAATGGGCACTTGTGAGACACATAAGACCGAGGTTACTTCATAAGGAAATGTCTGGCTATAGGAGTTCCCTCAGTGATGCTCCACAATCCTTCCACTGCTCTCCAGGCTCCCAGAGGCAACTCTCCTGATCATTCCCATCACGTCTTTCACCCTGCTTTGCTGTCCCAACCTCACTCTTTACCCGCTCAGCAGGTCATCTCACCAAATTAATTGTGAAGAGAGAGGTGTGAGAACAGGTGTCGAGTACCAATACACAATGTCTTTACTCTGCCTTACCATCTTTTTTTCCCTTCTGTTTCAGACAAAGAGGAGAAACTGCTATTTCATTCATCTATTTCAGACAAAGAGGAGACACCCTCCAAAAGCCCCTCCTTGACTGTCTTCTTTTTCTAAACTCTATTGCCATTGCAATAGTCCTAAGTCGAGCCTACCTGTGGGACAGTCTCCTATTAGTATCAAATCCATTAAAGCACACACATTTTCCTCCAGGCCCTCCTCACTATCACATCTGACTAATACCCTTGGCCTTTTCGAATGTCCAGAGCTTAGTAGCCAACACAGTAAACAAATACCAATCAGGGTATTTAGACTATTCATGGACTGTCTATTCACAGACTGTAAAACTTCTCAAGATCACTTAGCATAATTACTTGCAGGGACTTGAACCATGATTTATATGGCAAAACGGTATATCCTTTCTCTTTTCATGTTCTTTTGAGAGATCTCAACTCTGTATATTCACTTTAAATAGAAAAGATAAACAAAGACAAATCACTAGGAACTACTTAAATTTGTATTTGCATATTTCTTTAGCTTCTAAGATTGGAGAACAAACACATAAGGAAGTTTGAAATATTAAAGAATTATAATTTTTCCCCTGCTATCCCACCTTTTTCTTTAAGCTTTTTAGAACACATACAGTTGGTGAATAAACAACAACCAACATCCTAATCTCTATTCTGTGTTAAACAAGACCAACAAATGGATAAGTTAAATGATATACCAATTCTACGAGCAATAAAATGAAATAGTCCACTATTCCTAGAGAGTGCAAGTCATAATATAAACACCATAACACTAGCCTACTGCCCAGTAAACAGATGCTTGTGTATATACTGAGCTGCTACCCACCAGCAATTAGCAATTAATAGCCAAAGGATTATGTTTTCAAACCCCTGAAGCTATTGCTGCTTTCAAACAACTGAAGGACTTCTCTCCATCTTAGGATTCCATCTGTCTGATTCACTGAGAGGGTGCAGTTTTCTTTCTTTTGTGCCCCCACTGAAGCCAGCGTCTGCTGGAGCGTGGCCCTCCACTCTTACTAGTGCGACCACGATGAGACTGTTTCCCGTCAGGCCCTGAGCTCGTTGAGGCCAGGGACTGTGTCTCATTTACCTCCCTGTCCCTCGCAAGTCATACACTTCATGACACACAGTTGGCGTCAGTGAATGTTAACTATTTAGAGTTCTCATTTAATTCTTCATTCAAAATGGAAAAACAAAGTAAAACAACAGGCTTGGAAACCAAACAGATATATATAATTTTTAAAAAGTGACTATTAAGTTGAAACAAACCAAAACATGTGAACATAACAGTAAAGTTAAAAAAGGAATAATTAAGTTCCAGATAAAAATACCATCACACCAATACATATTTGTTACTCAAAAAGAGACATTAGGCTTAACACAAGAGTCAGGAAAAAAATAGACTAGTTCTGTTCTATACCAAGTATGCTACATTTGGGGAAAGTAACCTAACCTTTCTGAACCTCAGTTTCCTAATGTGTGAAATGGGAATAATCTCTTCTATATCAATTAGATAATATATGTAAAACGCTTGGTTCAGCAGCAGGCACACATAATGCACGTGCTCAGTGTATGCTAGATCCTCTCTCTCCCAACAGAAAGCAGCTCCAGGAAGACCTGGTTAAAAGGCTGGTGTGAGAGGAGAGGGCAGCCTTTCTGCAGTGCTTCCAGATCCTACGTCCACAGCTCAGGATGGGCAAGTATACATCAGAGCCCTTACAGATGCTGAGACCCGGCTGCGGGTGCTTGGGCCTTCACTCCCACCTTGCTAACTCCTCCCCCCCGTCCTCCTCATCCCCACTCAGGCTCCGGTTCCTCAGTGACCTTCCCTGACGGGTACAGTTAGCTTTCCTTCATTTCACAGTTGTCATAGCTGCAATTTTAGGTTGTGTGTGTGACTGCTTATCTCATGATTGCCTCTGCAACTAGACTGTGAGCTTCTAGAGGGCAGGACTGTGCATGCTTCTGTTCACTGTGGTGCCTCCCATTCCTAAGCACACAGTAGGAGCTCAATAAGTAGTTGTTGAACAAACTAACCAGAATAGATCTAACACTGCCATTTACGCTTGAACAGTACACCCAGAGCTGGTCTGACAAGAGGGGAAGCCCATGGAATGCACTTCTGGGATGGGGGACAATCAAGCAAAGAAAGACAAACCATCTCGAAGCTGTTCCATGTCATCGTCAAACACGGCCTCCTTCAGGGCTGTCTTGTCATAGGTGTTGATGGTGTCTGAATAGGGATATGGATTGTAGTCTCGCATCCGCGGCCCCGGGAAGGCCCGTGGAGGCTGGGTGTTGAGGAGGGAGGTCTTGTTATCCAGAGCCGTTCTGCCTCCTTCCATCACATCACTGCCTCCCCGACCCTCAGTGGCCAGAGAGGCAACTCCACCATCGCGGGACACCTGGAGCACAACACATTGTCAGTTTCTTTTTAGGAAAGCCAGAGATTTCTCACTTGAAATCCGGCCACTTAACAAAAGGACAGTTATTAGTATTTCAATTTGTAAATATCTAATTCATAGACTACCTTAAAGGGAAATGAATATATTTGCTTACTTTTTCATCTATTCATTCATTCATTTATATGTAAAATCTACTTTACTTTGTATTTGGTGATTAATTTTAGTCAAACATTTTTTGAGAGACTGATCACATGAAATTCTGAAGAGTCCCTGAAAACAAAGGCTGCGCACCTCATACCCCCAGTTCTTCAGGAATCTCATGTGCCAACAGGAATGCAGCCTGTCGCTTTCATTACACAGTAAGGGTTTTCTCACTGATGCCCCAACACACCACCAACGGACAGACGCTCCCCCAAATACCATCACAAGATCTAAAGTGGTCCAACTGCCCATGGATTCCTTGTGCATATTCCCACCAAGTGGTGAGCCAAACCATGCTCACTAATCTCTAACAACAGAGAACTCAGTACCCCCAGGCAGATCATTCTTCTTTGGATATTTCTGACTCTCAGAGTTTGTCTTTATGCTGGGTCAAAGAACAGGTCTTTAATATTTTCTGAATTTTTTTTCCCTAACATATTCTGAGTCTTGTCTCCAACAAATTACACTTCTGGTCCTCTGGCTCTTGGTTTCTGACTCTCTCTGCTCTTGGGGTCCATTCTTCCGAGGCACAATGGCCTGTCTGGCTCTCTCTGCAGGGTGGCACTGTAACAAAGCAAGTGTGGGCTGGTTGCTAGGAACAGAGCAAAAGCATCATTTTCCTCAAGCCAGACATCTGACTACATAATAATGGTAGAAACATTTCCAGGCAGCCAGACCACACTGGTGATTCCTATGGCAAATTTTTTACTTGTGCTGCTTACAAGACACATCTCTCTCATTTTGTGCTTACGCGTTTTTTTGTTTTTTTGTTTTGTGAGGAAGATTAGCCCTGAGCTAACATCCGTTGCCAATCCTCCTCTTTTTACTGAGGAAGATTGGCCCTGAACTAACATCTGTGCCGCTCTTCCTCTAGTTTGTATATGGGACGCTGCCACAGCATGGCTTGATGAGTGGTGCGTAGGTAGGTCCATGCCTGGGATCTGAACCTGTGAACCCCGGGCTGCCAAAGTGGAGCGCATGAACTTAACCACTATGCCACCAGGCCAGCCCCTGTTTTTTTTTTTAATTGTGGTAAAATACATATATCATTTTATTTTATTTTATTTTTATTTATTTATTTTTTTGTGAGGAAGATCAGCCCTGAGCTAACATCCATGCCAATCCTCCTCTTTTAGCTGAGGAAGACCAGCCCTGAGCTAACATCTATTGCCAATCCTCCTTCTTTTTTTTTTCCCTTTTTCTCCCCAAAGCCCCAGTAGATAGTTGTATGTCATAGTTGCACATCCTTCTGGTTGCTGTATGTGGGACGCCGCCTCAGCATGGCCGGACAAGCAGTGCGTCAGTGCGCGCCTGGGATCGCAACCTGGGCTGCCAGTAGTGGAGCGCTCGCACTTAACCACTAAGCCAGGGGGCCGCTCCCATATATCATTTTAATCATTTAATTCCTAAGTGTACAATTCAGTGACATTAAATACATTCACAGTGTTGCATAACAATTACCACTACGTTATATTTTGGGCAAAACTTTTTCATCTTCCCCAACTAAAACTTTGTACCCATTAAATAATAACTCCCCAACCCTCACAGGACTGGTAACCTATATTCTCCTTTCTGTCTCTATGAATCTGACTACTCTAAGTGGAATCATACAATATTTGTCTTTCTGTGTCTGGCTTACTTCACTTAGCATAATGTTTTCCAGGTCCCTTCATGCTGTAATATGTGTCATCAGTTTTTACATTCCTTTTTATGGCTGAATAACATTCCCCTGCATGACTGTACCACATTGTGTTTATTCACTCATCTGGCGGACCCCTGGGTTGCTTCCACCTTTTGGTTACTGTGAATAACGCTGCTATGAACACTGGTACACAAATATCTGTTCAACACCTTCTTTCAATTCTTCTGGATATACACCTCGTGGAATTGCTGCGATGCATTTTGTTTTTAACATCCCCCCAAAAAGATTTTCTACTAATATAATTGTTGAGATGTAAAAAGAATATATAACACATGCATAGATATGGACGAAATAAGACTGGGGGTTTTTCTCCGGGTGGAAGATGATTCATGGACGATTTTAATTTTTTTCTCTTTATAACTCTCTTCTAAAAGTAAAACATTTATTATTACAACGAAAAAAATTATTTATAATAGGAGAAAGGGTTTAAAAACCTTCAGATATTTTAAAAATAAAGCTAAACTATCCCAATTCTAATCACTTTTAATAAAAACAAAAAAAATCTTGCTTTTTTAACTTTGCCTATTATCCCAGTCTTTCTCTACATGCAGATTTTATAGAGCGGGCATCGCTGTGTACAGATTATCAGATATTTTGCTTTCCTCACAGCATAAGCATGTCCCACATAAATAAAGTTTTGTAACCATAATGTTTAATCACACCTCTATTTCTACATGTGTTTTAATAAGATTTACTCAACTATTCCCCTTCTGGTTTTTTTTTAATCTGTTTTTGTTTTTTTGCTATCATAGATAACACTGAAATAAACTAGTTTATGTAAATAATATCCTTCTTTCCTTTTGCTGAGTTTGTTATTTAGCGTATATTGCCAAAAGTTAGATTACTGGATAAAGGACATGAAACTTAAAATCACTTTTGCTAAATAGTTTTACTAAGCTCCAAAACAACTGTATCAATTTCCCATGCCACCAATATTACACTAGTTTCTAATAGCCTTTCTAGCATTAAATGTTACAATTTCTACTTGAAACAAAGCAGAAAAATCTAGAAGTAACATGGACCCTCAAATATGTTTGTTCTGTTTCTGTAATTACTCCTAAGGATGGACTTTCTCCCACACGTTTAATGTTTTCATCTCGGCTTTTGTGAATCATCTTCCTACTATAGCAGACATTCACCCTTAAGGACTTTTGTCTCATTAAACCAGGTCTACTTGTCAAGCTTAATAACAAGAGATATACTGGCTCCTGAGTCTTTCACATTTAATGCAGTTTTATATCTGCCTCAGCTTCTTAGCTAAAATTTGGTAATTAGTGGACAAGATGTTGAATTCTGAACCTCCTCAACTCTTCAATTTTCACTTCCCCTCTTCTGATGCTCCCACCTCTCCTGGCCAGTCCTCCAGCTGGACCAGCCGCACCTCTGAAACATGACGTTCTCACCACCACTTCCTGGCCTGGCAGCTCTTCCACTCCACGCCTCCCAGTCTTCCGGTCCCTTGCTCTCTTTCTCCCTACGAGGCTTCACTCCTTTCAGCTTTCACCACTGTATTTTTATACTTAGAAAAATTGGAAAGCAGTTCAATGTTCCAAAACAGGGCAGTGGGGACATGACTATTATATATCCATATGATAAATTATCATCCAGTCATAAAAATTCACATAGAAGAATACTGACAGGGGAAAGTGTTCACATCCTATGCTAAATAGGATGCACATTATGATATCACTTTTATTTAAACAAACACTCTACCTACACCTCTAAACATACATATGAACAACTACAGATAAAGAAATAGAAAAATACACCAAAATGATAATGGTGGTTATCTCTAGAGATGGTGATTTCTTTTCCTTCTTTTTTGGCATTTTCTAAATGTCATACGTTGGCTATATATTATATTTATAACTGGGAAAAGTAATACCTCAGGCATCCACCCTCTCCTAGGACCTCCACTGTTCCTGGCAGGACTTCTGTTTCCCTAAGCAGAGCCCCCCATGCCCCACAGGCGCTGTGGAAACCTTTTTTACTCTCTTCACAACTGTGCCCAGGCTTCACAGCTTAGCGTAGAAAGCAGGAGTTGTCAGTGGGAATATCCTCCACTTCCTGCCCCCAAACAAAACCTGCTCATCTTCCTTCCTGGCTAAGGCCACCCCTCCACCAATGCCCAAATCCCATCCCCCTCCCACATCCTTAAGGACCCGTGTCCACCAATCACCCACTCCCCTCCACCATAGTCCACATTTCTCTCTCAACTGGCCCCATTGGCATTCGAACAGATCAGCTCCATGTGAAAAGCCCCTGAGTGACCCCTCATCTCTCCCCAGCTTGTTACTCGAGTCACTCCTCAACCCACTATATCTGATTTCCACTCTCAACTCTGCTCTGAACTATGCTCACAAAATCCAATGGACTCTTGGAAGAAACTAAATTTGGAAATTGTAAACTGTAACTACATATAAAATTTATTTAAGAGGAAGAACACGAAAATCCAAATGGTGGGCCCATTCTCAAAGAAAAGGTGTTGGCTCCACATCAAAACATTGGTGAATAAATGTGTGCTTTATGTATTTCAGGTTAAAATAAGAGTATTTAATGCAGATAGGAAAAAAAATCCAACGGAGTCTTTTCACTCCGTATCTGACTTGATATCTCTTTGCAGCATGACCCATTTGGCTAGAATGTCCTTCCTGAAAGTGTCCCTTAAATTCTGACACCACACCATCCTGGTCTTCCTCCTATCATCTTTAGCTTTTCTTCCAACTCCTTTTCTTCTGTCTTTCCCTTAGTGTTGATGCTCCTTAGGATTTTGTCCTTGCTCTTTACTTGGTTGATTTCACCCACTTTTCTTTAGTTACCACCAAGCAGCTAGTCAACGCCTCTCAAATTTCGATCTCCAGCCCAAATCGCTGGCCTAAACTCCAGACTGGTATATCCAAGGGCCTAATGGGTATGTTTGCTTGGACATTTCCACAGGTCCTGCAAGTCACATATATTCAAAACTGAATTCATCAGGTTCCAAAGGGGTTAACGTGCACTTTTTTCTCCTTCTATGATATTATCTCATTGAACTGCATCAGCACCTACTCAACAGTCCTAGTTAGAGACTTCTGACTCTGACTCTTCTATTTCTCGTCATGCCCTACGCAACTGAACTTCCTCTGGAATCATTCTCCATCTCAGAGTGACAGCAATCTTTCTAAAATGTAACTGCGACCATGCCACTTCCCTGGTTAAAAATCCTTCAGAGTCTCCAATGACTCCACTGTAAAGTCAAGACATGGGCTGGAAATTCCCCTGGTGTGAGCGCCCTTCCTGAGCCAACCTCTGCAGCCTCTTCTCTGAACCGGGTCCCCAACAACATGACACACCCGCTCTCTCCCCTTCAGCCACTGCAGAACAAGAAATCATACCATGCCCACTCCCATCTCTCTGCCTTCTCACAGGTTCCCCTCTACGACTACAACCTCCTACTGGACCTGACAAACCCCTCTGGACCTTCAAGCTTCAGCTCAATCATCTCTTCTGCAGATCCTTCCTGAGCACCAAGACCAGCCCGGCAGGTCCCCTCGGGGCTGAGCCCTGATCACTCCCACCGCACCACGATTTCCTGCTAATCTGCCTGCCTCTGCATGAGACTTGAGAGACAGAGAGCCACACAGGTGTTTGGTTCAGGCTCACTACTTTTATCACATCATAGGAACAAAAATATGTCCAGGATAAACGAAATCAAACTGAGAAAAAAGGTATTTAACATTCTTCACAAAGACAGCTGAGGGTCCTCAAAATGTTGTAAAATTGCCTTGGGCCTCTTCAAATAATACTATTCGAACTACAAGATAAAAATAATGATGAAGCCAAGTAATCACAGTGGTCAGAATTATCACTGAATTGATATATAGTTCTCTGTTAGCCTGGGGATACTTACAATATCACAGTCCTTTTTGCCATCTCGTTTAATTGGCTCATTCAGATCCTCCTGGCTTCGAAAACTAAATTTTTCAATGGCTTCTGTAACTCCACGCAAAGAACTATAGATTTCTTCAGAGTTCAGGTTCTCTGTATCATAGTCCAGCATGCTAAAGATCAAACATATTTTATTTCTTAAATTGAGGCATAAATATAAAATTGAGGTGTGGGCATAAATTACATCTAATAATTTACAGAGTAAGATATAATTATAATTTTGCTTTTTTAGGTGATTTGGAATGAAAAGGAGACATCTTTTGTTAGAGCACCACCAACGGACAATTACACACCTTCCTTGTCAAATCTGGTCCCAAGCACATCACATCAGCACTCAGTAAGAACCAGTGGGAAACAACAATGACCACGAGAATGGAAAAACTCAAAGAGAGAGAACCGGTGACAATGCATGAAGTAATGAAAGTGGAAAAATAACTTTCATATCCTGAAGATGGAAAGAAGGAGTTTGGTTGTTACTGGTCTCAAATGTACAAACAAATTAAGAAGAACAGGCACTTCAAAATAAAGCTAGTATTACAAACAAATTTCAGTGGAGCAAAGCAAACGACCTCACGAGACTGGACTCTATTTACCAGTATCGGAAACTTATAAAATAAAAACCTATACTAAAAATGACTCAAAGTCAGATCCACTCTGCCAATGGGCTCCTGAGAGTCTCTTATTGTCATCTAACCCAGGAGCTCGCTGTGAATATCAAAAACTCTTCTAGATGCTCATATTTGGAGTTTTATAATAAAAGCAGATCTTATAAAGATGAGTTACATTCCTACCTGGATGTCTAAAAGCACTTCAAAAGCAAGAAATATTTGTCCCTTACAGAAAAGTGATGTCAACTGTTGTCCTTTTAGACATTTAGCATAGCAAAATATGAAATGAGGCAAAAATCCTAAACAGCTTTTTTTGTAAGGTGTAATGCAGTGTGTCAACAAGCGGCCTTTAGATGTCTGCAAAGTGCACTGAAACAGACAGAAGATCCTAAGAACAAAAACCATCACTGTCCCTCACTAAGAACATCAGAGAAAAGCAGGGAGTGGATACACCAGTATAAAAAAGCAAAACATAGAGCAATCGTCAACCAAAGGCAAGTCAAAAACTGTAACTTATATGTCACTTGTTTCAAGAAAAGATCAGATGAGTTGGTCTAATTTAACCTGCAGAAAGTCTTGAGCTATACTGAGGACTGCTAGAGACACTCAAAGAATCCTTGGCCGTATCTACGTAGGCACTCAATATTATTAAAGACTAAAGCAAAGCAATCTTTCTGTTCTTCAAAAGAGAATTAACTGTGGGGTGGCTGGGTGGCACAGCGGTTAAGTGCTCGAGCTCCACTTTGGCGGCCCAGCGTACACCGGTTCGGATCCCAGGCGCGCAGCAACGCACCACTTGCCAAGCCACGCTGTGGCGGCATCCCATATAAAGTAGAGGAAGATAGGCACGGATGTTAGCCCAGGGCCCATCTTCCTCAGCAAAAAAGAGGAGGATTGGCATGGATGTTAGCTCAAGGCTAGTCTTCCTCACAAAAAAAAAAAAAAAAAAGAGAGAGAGAATTAACTGAAACTAGGCACCCAATGTAGGAAACCCTCACTAAGGGCAACACAATCCCTGTACATTCTCACAAGAGGTAAGTTTCCTGTAACTTAAAAAAAAAAAAAAAATGCTTACAAAGCCTCCTCCCTCAACTTTTTTTTTTTTAAGGTTTGGGCTGATGAGCAAGATGAGATTAGGACAGTGCCCACTTGGAGCAGCCAGACCTCCACTGGCTTGAGGCTGCAATGATCCAAGGCTGGAGGTTCTGCTAGAGCACAGGATCTGAACTCACTCTCAGAGATGAAAGCTATTTGCCTAAAATTGCAAAACTGGTCCAGATAGAACCCATGCTTCTCTTCTGATGAATGAAAGAAAATACATACCCCAACTGTACTTGGAAAGTTCACAAAAATACGTACGAACTCAAAGATTGGCTCTGGCACCAAACAAAAAGAAATGTGAACTAGACCATGTTTACAGCTAAAATTCCATGTATATACTGACAGGAGGTGGAACAAAAAGCTTGAACAGAACCCAAGATTTCAACCCCTTCTAGGTTCATAAGGTTATCGTCTATGAGGCAATATCCCTTTAATGTGAAGGACGCATGACTGAGGCACAGGGCCTCCCTGTCCCCTCCTTTCTAGAATACACCACCAGCTCATGTATGAACAAAGGCATTTATACATCTGGCCAGTACATTATTTTTTTATATACAAAAACTGAGTATGACTCAAACAAAAAAATATGTATACAAGACGTAAAAAGATGCCTTAAAATACTTTTAATCACAACAACCAAAAATAATAGCATAGCCCATGCAAAAGGAAAAAAAAAATGAAAGAATGATGGGATGGACGAGAGGAAGTCTGGCGGAACGTTCAGCTTTTTAAGGGATGTCACAATATTATTTTCCATATGTCGCTTCAGATAATGTTAGTTTTCAGTTAATTCATCTCATTATTCTTAATCTAAACTTTCTTAAAATATTTCATTTAAGTTCACATAACTTTAGCATTATAGTAGCCTCTTTTTTAAATAAAATAATCAAGGACTCTGCCAGTTCATGCTCCTCCTTCTTACTTTCAATTAATAAACCAACTCAGACTTCCAATTTAGGAGCACACGTGCATAACCAAGTACGATTTGTGGTGACACTTCTTTTAGACTCCCTAGCTTGAGATCTGAAGTATTTCCTTGGTATGAAGCTAAAATTGTGAGCTTCAGGTGAGAGACATCATTGTTTTCCTCTAACAGGAAACAGGTAATGATACTTTCTTTGCTATTTCATGTTTTGGCATTTGTCTTTTTTCAAATAATACCCATGAGTCCTATTTCGTACGGAAAAAGGAAATTCCCATGAATGCTGTCATTGGGGAATCATAGATACCACGGTCCCAGTCCCAACAAGCAGTACATAGGCGAGAAGCAAGAGGGACACAGCAGCTTTACTTAGAAGAGACTTGGTTACGTCGACCCCAGTCTGTCAGCTGTCCCCACACTCTGTCTTGTTTTAGCTCAGAGACATCATCCTCTAGGTTAAAGGCCAGGTCCTGGTCATCTGTAAACACTGCGATTAGACCCCAGAGAAGTTTCCTTAGGATTCTTTAGATTAGGAAGAGTTGCTCAATCGGTCAATATTCACTGACTTAAGGTCAGGCCATGTCACTTAATCCAGAAGCAGAATAAAGCTCTGGACTTGCCCTGTTGTGAAGGATCCGCTCGTGGGGTGGAGAGGTGCATGAGGTCAGGTCTCCAAGAAAAGAAAAACTGGAGACAGGAGGTTTGTCTTCTGAGATTTTCTTCTTCATCATTTTGCAGGGAAAAGACACTAGGTATGGAATAGGGATAAAGGTGCCTTGTTATGAAATCAATAGGGTTTTGGCAAAGAGACAGACATAGATTTCTTCTTAGTTTTATGTAACTAATAGGTTTTCTAAATGCACAAGTCTCTAGTCAATACTCTCCCTGATGGTTAACAGAAGTTACGGGTGTTTATTAAGCATTAGCTGTATTATTGTGCACATATGTGAAAGATGATTCTGGGAATGGGATGTCCTCTGGAGGGCAGTCTTGAGGGCTGGATGAGAAGACTGGCTTGGGGTAAAGCTTAGTGCCCATTAGGGCACACAGGTCAGTATACTGGAAGACAGGCAATAACCTGGTCTTATACATTGAGGCATAGCTAACCTTTAAAAAAACAAAAAACAAAAACAAAGAAAGAAAAAAATAAGCAAGTGTAGTGACATGTTTTATTAACATTGACGACAGCAGCCGTCTCATTGTCGGTGTGCCCTTGCCCTAACCTTGTGTATCTAGAAACAGTCATTATAGGATTATCCGTATACTTTAGAAGTTACTTTTAGAGCTGTAAGAGTTTCAGAAGATGTTATTAAAACATCTAGCTGACTTGTTCACTATGTACAGCTTTGCTATGTTGAGGATACAAAAGTAGGAATGTGCATCTTCTGTGCAAAAGCTATCTATGAAGCCTTCAAAAGTAACAGACTTTTTTTTGTTTTGTGTTTACCCTTGTCCTCCCACAGAGGGTACAAACCCATTTTACACAGCACAAAGACAGCTGGACTGCACCATGCTCTGCTCATGTAACTACAGGCTATCGGGGAAAGGGTTCTCTGATCTTTGGACCTTCATAAAAAGCACCTAAGAGATCCTCAATCTATAGGAATATGTGGATCCTACTTTGTACCACAGAGTTGCCATCTGTCTTAACATCTGAAGAAAGCCCTACCCCCTTCTTCCAGACTCATTAACACTGTCACAATCATCCAGGGGCTTGTGAGGACACCAACGGCTCTCCTGCCTAGAGGCAGGGCACCTTTACTGAGATGCACCAGTGAACGCACTCTCAGGGCTTCCTTTCTGGATCTGTGTCCTCAGACTATCACCACATGACAGTACATTATGAAGGAAATCAGTCCATAGAATCAACAGCAGGACTGAGAGCTACAGGTGGAGTCTGGGAAAGAACAGGTCTCATTTGCTCCTTAGTGGAAATACCTTTTACATCTAAAAAGAATGCTAAGGAAACTGTGCTCATTACTGCCTGCCTTGACTTCACGGCACTGCCTGAGTACCTTCTGGGGGCTGAGCACTGCAGTGTGCCGAAAGGCTCGCAGTAGTAAGTGGTGATGAATTTGGTCAGCTGATGAAATAGTCATCTGTCCTTGTGACACAAAAGGATCTGTACTCGTGAGGTTCGACAAGGATCACGCACCTGCTCACACTTCTCACCAAGGCTCTACTCCTGCTAGTCTAAGCCAAAGCAGCAGGGACCACACTGGAGGCAGCTGAGAGGCTTTCCAAAAGACCTGAGACGACCTTGGAAATGCAATAATATTGTGACACCTCAGACAAGTTTAACAGGTAGCGTGTTACCTGGGAGAGTAAGAGCGCCTGAGAGTCTTGTGGGAGGGAGCGGTGGGAATGGAGTTAGGCTGAGAAAAGGGAGGTGGGTGCTTCGATAACCCATCGGCACTCCAACCCCATAACCGACTGTAGTGATCAGAAGAGGAAAATCAGAAAGAGAAACAAAAAAAAGCAAAGGGTAGGGGAGGAGGATGGGGAGGAGAAGACACTACATTCCAAGTGTCTTACGGTCTCCTCTTTCCTTGATAAAGTTCTAGCAAAACTAATTGGAGCAAAATTAATACTTCACCATACAGAGAAAAAGAACAGATTTTGTTTTACAATTTGGTCCTCAATGAGACTACTTTATTCCTTTCCCTCTCAAACATGCCTTTACATTTTTAAATCACATGAGATTCCAAGTGTAAGAGTATGTGTGTGTCTGCACTGGGAAGGACATTATAAGCACTTACACACAAAAAAACATGAATGTTCAGTTTCAGATAATGCAATCAATTATTTTATAAAGAACCAAAGAAGGAATTCTGGGCCTTGATTCAAATGGGACCAAAGGGACTACAGCAGAAAGACTCAGAGAACATGCCATTCTGACCAAAGCACTCGAACAAGGGGCAATGCGCTCCGAGACCAGGATCCCATCAGATGGAGTTCAGAGGCCACTACACACAAGTTTCTTCTGAAAGAATAACAACACCACGAGAGGGCTAGGGCATCAAGTCTCAGCTGGCCAGCTCAGAGAGGAGGGAACCAAAAATCTAATTCCTCTACTCCTATCACCTAATACGAGAATTAAAATTCATCTGAGAACATAGGTATTCCTCTTCACTTTGAAAATGTCACTAAGTAACCTGGGCTTGGAAAGACTCTGACAGAGAGTCCTAACAATTGTTGCAATTCAAAAGAACCAGAGACATCGGGACAGGGGTGAGCTGAGCTGCCTGGAGATGACCGGAGGCCACAGGGTGGAGTCTGCAGTATCACAGACAGCGCTCTTGCGGAGCAGCACTGCCTGTCGCTGCCATGCAGTGTAGTTCTAAGAGCAGGAGGTACAGAGTGAGTCTCCACCTGAGGACAGTTATGGCTCCATTTTGAAAGGAAATAAAGTGTGGAGATGAGAGGTCACTGTGGCATAGAAGGGCCCAAAGACCTTCTCTAAGTCACACACTGAGTTGGGGACAGGGGTACAAGAAGAATATGGGCGACCACCTCAGGCTGGAGCTCTGCTAACAGGCAGAGGATAAAGCAGGTACACCACCACCTCCCTGTAGGAGGCTGGGTCTCCCAGTTAATCCCCACTTTGATTCTCTGGACACTCCGGATCCTCTGATGGGATGAACGTAAACTCTACCTAAAATTACCTTTTATTGGTAGGGGAAACAGAGGTTATCTATCTAGTGCTATTCTGCTCTACAACACGTTTGCCAAGAATGTACAGCAGACCGGAGTGGGGACTGCCATATACTTATTTAACTGAAAAGGAATGGACTTCACGTGATTTCTGAAGCCCCTTACAACTCTGTTTTTCATTTAACATAAATCACACTGGGTAAAATAAGCTAAAATATGTGTTTAATGATGAAAAACTCAAGGTCATAAATCTCCTCCACAAATACCCAGTAGTATTTGTTTACTAGCTAGGAATAAGCAGTAATTCTTCCCTTACACAGGAACGACGATTAACGGAAGGTTTAACCTGTTAGCTATGGCTTCTCTAACACTACTGAGTTGATAAAAATGACTTCCTCACTAGTGACTTTTTTTAAAAAATCAAATTAGATTTGTTCATCATTTCAAAATATTTCCTTAACACCACCATGATCCAAGTTTAGAATTTTTGGACTAAAAAAAATACTAGTTCATTTTGATATTCAAAATTAGATTAAAAACAAATAATTGTAATAGCAAAAGCTAACACCATATGGTCAAGATAATTCAAAAGAATGGCAGGTCACAGAAAATAAATGTTTCAAGAGCACTGCTCAGAAAAATAGCTGAGATTAGATACAGTGCAACTTGTCTATCACCTCCTTAGAATGTGGTAACCTAGTCCATTCTCCTAATTAGTGTAAGAGTTCATTTTTTAATAATTTTCCTGGTAGAAAGTATGTAGCCTATTTGAATATTTCAAGTGATATGATGACATAAGGCAGTTTTTCCTACTTCTGGATAATTTTACTTGTGAGAAAAATCATTTCCCCTATTGAGCTCAGGTTGGCTAAGGCCACCTAGCTAGTTATGCACTGACTGAGGGCACATTTTTTTAAAAACTACATAACTAAATAATTTCCTAAAGAAGAATTTGTTGACAAGAAAATATTTGGGCCATACTTCAACTTTTTAATATTAAAACTAAATCTCCTCATTTCTTCCACTGACCTGTAACCCTAACAGTAAAAATTAACATCAGGTCAATTAGGAATGAATGGTAACTTGGAAAAATAAATTAAAATTTTTAATAATTTGGAGATCCACGAAGATTAATACCTAGCCAATTCGTAGCTCTGATAGATTATGCTGGCAGCCCCCACCAATTCTTTTACTCACACTATTAAGCACATACAATAACAAAATACTTAATTTGAGTTTTATCTTTTGCTTATTACTAAAGAATGTGCCACCCTAATAACGAAATAACTAAAAGGTAAGAAGTATGAACCATGTATTATGGAAGAACAGATGTCCCAATTAATGTTGTAGAAGTATCACTTCTAGACAAAAGCAACAATTTACAGAGAATACAAGTTTCCCATAAAATTCTCCCCCACCAAGAGAACTCTGATTTTATTGTCAACACTGGACCCTGGGCATTTAAGACACAACCCATATACTTTAGATACAGATGTTAACATTAAAAATAATAGTTGGCTGAGCCTCGGTCACACCTGGGGAAAATCAGATAGATTTTCATTGGTTTCTCGTCTCAACTGTCTAATTATAATAGCCTGCTGAAACGATGACAACACAGACCAAATCTGGAAACAAAACATCATACTTCATTCTACCTAAATATAGTAGAAGGGGCCCTTAGGGGATTAAACATAAGGCAAAATAAACAGTAGGATACTGTAAGTATACAAAATACTTCGTTTCACCAAGAGAAAAATACAAATTTGTTATGTTCCAAAATATTTATACGATAACTTGAGGAACTGTAGAGACTTCAGTGGTAAGGAGGAAGGAGTTTGGGAGACTCCTGATCTTTTAAAAATCTAAATTTAAAGGCACTTACGTTCTGACATCTTCCCACTAAAGAAAGTAACTCTTAACAGGAAAATGGCATACTTGCAGTATTTTCTTGTAATTTTAAGATCTTGGTGTCAGCAAACTTTAAGACACCGTCCCCTTATTCCTGTGGGTAGTGATCCCAAAGAGCTGGACTTCTTGTAGACAAACACAGCATAGATGACCCTTACAGGTCCAGGACTGGCTCTTTTCTAAAAAGTTTGGCCTATAGGGCCACTACTCTGAGTGAGGCCATGGGGGACTCCAACACATGTCACTAAAGTCACCATGTAGAGACATCCAAGGGCTCTGGCCAGATGGAGAAGTGTTATCTAAAGATCTTGAGACAAAGCATTTTCTCTTTTTAAGTCACTGCCTCAGACTCTATAATGCCAATGTTCACATGGTCCCAAGAAAAGTCTGAAAATGCTGATCCAATTTTAGTTCTCAGATTCTTAATCCCTCCTTCCAGAGCAGCATTCTGCTTCAAACGTGAGCCCATAATGGTAGCAACTATGCTTGGAATGGCCACTTGGCTGGAAAACTGCCCCAGACGATGTGTGACTGACTATAAAGAATTTATTGAGACGACTAAACACTTCCAGGTGCTATCACTTACAGAATAGGTGATGAGTTTCTACGCGAAAAAGTACTTAATTTAACTTTCAGTTTTAAAAACTATAAGGTACTATAAGAGAGTGTTTAGAGCTATAAGAATCTCAGAGAACATTCAGCACAAATCACTCATTTCACCAAAGAAGTTAACCACTTTGCCCAATATAATACAGTTAAGATTTGGGTGGGGCCTAGAACCCATGGTCTCCTGACACCAATATACTTTTTGGTATTAAGCTTGGTCTAGAAATCGGCTAGACATTCGGGTGCTTTCATTTCTTCACTTCTGTTGAAATGGCATTACCTTGGAGACAGACCCCCATGGGAACAGTTGGTGGGTGAGGTCAGGGGGCTAGTCCTGCTGCTGGTGTGTCGGGAGGGAGTCCGGCCAATTGTATTGCTCGGAGAGCCCTGGGGTGAAGGCAGAAGAAGCATAATTATTCAAGGGCTAACTACAGAATAGAGTTTCACTTTTCCCTTGGCCTTTTAACCCACACATAAATAAATGGGCAGAATTTGCACAGTCAGGGTAACTTTTTTCAGAATTATAAGGCCAATTTTAAGTGCCTATAAACCAAAAATGGGTAAGTATCATATACGCATTCCTGAAGCTGAATGACTGATGTCATTTGTGCTACAGTAACAGACATAATTGAGCATTTGCATCTTTACAGTATGAAAAAAATAACTAACTCAATGACTGACTGACTGACTAAATGACCTAGTAAAAATTTAACTGATTAAACAACCTAACTAAAGAAAAAGGCCATATTTCAATATCAGGTTCATTCGTTGGAAATATGGCAGGATCAGACATGGCCCCCACCCTCGAGATGCCCACAATCTACTAAAAGAGAACAAGAAAGCTGCTCTTCTATTAGAGCAAGCTCTAGACAAGGGATACGCCAGGGTCATGATCAGCACAGAGGCACCAATTATGACCAAAGTACTCACCACACTGGTGTTACTGGAATTCTTGAGGTGGTTATGCAGGAGTTTGGTGGCACCATCCTGGAATGTTTTTGGCAAGGCACCAAGTAACATGGTAAATTCAGGAGTGTTCAATTCAAACAGAGAGATTAGCACAATTTGTGCTGCCTAGAAAAAGATGATTCATTCATGTAATGTACAATAGCACACCTTGGTCAAAATGTTCATTAAAATTATTTAAAAAAAAATTTTTGTATGAGTAAAATAAATAAAAAGAGGACACCTTTGCCATAAAAAACCAGAACAAAAAGCATCTGGAGAAAATGATATCACTAATTATAAATACGAATGAGCTCAATCTGGAAGTAAGCCCTGGTTTCACGGTGAAGCCCCTGCCGCGGATTTCCACAGCATGGTAATAGTAAATTCTTATAACTTCTCCTGTGTTGTCTAGTATTAGGAACAAAGCTGATAAATATGTAAATGAAACAATCAAAAAATTTTAAAAGGCTTAAGATTGTACACTCTAAGTCGTCAGAGCTGGACAGGGCTCCCAGTGCACCCTGGAAAGAACAAGTTTCTAAATGGGCTGGGTTTTCTTGAGAAATCTCTTTTCCTCTACCCCACTCCTAGTACCTGAGAAATACAAGAAAAAGACAGAGTTTAAAGACATCTGAAAAACTCCTCCTTTTATACCTGTGAATGGAGGAGAGCAACTGTCTTTGGGAAGCAAACCAGACTTACATGGTACAAATTAAAAACTTACTATTCTGTCTTTTGGAAAACGTTCTACTTTCCTTTATGAACTGAGACAACACACTGCAGGAGTGCTTGTCATTACTGTGGGAGTAAGGAGGGAAAAGCAGTTAGCTGAAGCAAGAGGAGCCAAATGAGACTCAGACTCCTCCAGCAAGTTATGTGCTTTCTGCGGCACTAATGGAGTAGCAGGCAAGTGAGCTTAAAGAAACAATGCCTGAGGAATTAGTTATAAGGGTTTTCATTTAGAAAAACTACGACAAAAGAAAATTTTAGTAACTACTAACCGGCATTTCTTACAAATTTCTAAGGGTCAAAAGAAAGGAAAACACATTATGAAAATCTTTTGACTAAAAGCATACATTTATCTTTCCAAAGAGTCTAATTTTTAGGATTGCAGTAATTATTCTGAATTTTTTTTTCTGATATAGAATATTATAAAAAACATACTCGCTGAGAAATTCTTTACAAATAAACACCGTAAAATATTTCAATGCTTTTACAATGTTAAAATTAATCCTATGTCCAGTTAACACAAAACTACTATTTGTGCCTGGAAAAGGAAAAAAAATCCAAAAACCCAAATGTATTTAACCAAAAATAAAAATGAATTATGAATTTTAAAATATCAGTAGAATGCTTTTTACAGAATCAAAAATTATGTCTTCAACATGTCAAAAGCATTCATTAAGCACAGCATTGGGCAAAAGTATCTTACTTTTTTCCTTTGATCTCCAAATATAGTCACTAGTAGCCTTTCCATCCAAATTAAATCACAAGGGGCCAGTGTGCTTTCATGACACAGACAAAACACATTCTTACTGATTGTATTAAAATATACATTTCTACTTTTCATTATTGAACATTCTTAATAAATCATTATCTGAAGGAATCTATTTTATCACCAATTTAATATACTATTAACATGATTTGTATATTTGTATATACGCAAATTCCAAAAATCATGCAAAGTAACCTGTGCATTTTAAAAAAACATTTTATTAGATGTTAGAAAAAAATGCATGCAAAAAGAACTGCACTTCCAAGAGAAAGAAAGCAGCAGACTTGAGTTTTAGTAGGGGAAAATCAATGTTGCCAACTGAATAAGAAAGCTTAGGCACTTATTTTTTGTTGACTGAAAATAGCATTTGAAAATTATAAAATGTAACATTATATTTTTGAATAGTATATTTTTACACGAAATATGCCACTGTCTTTACTTAAAAGATCATCTTGTTTCTCAGAATGACATGATATCTAATACCACGAACTTATTTGAGGTTTTTCATGAAGCAAATTATAAAATTAGTGGGCTCTTTTAGGAACAGGAGGGCTGCAAGATGATAGGCCTAGACACTGTGCTAATTCATGGCTACTTAACTTTAGTGACTTTTAGAAATGGGAAAAGAAAGTGTCATAGACTTTAACTTCAGACCCATTAAAGAACCTTCTCTCAATAATCCTGAAGTTGAATTTTGATTAAAAAACCAAACAGGAAATTTTGAAGATATAACTAGTTGGACACACGGTACAAGTATGTAATTTATACACGTCAATAAATTATTTTTACATTTTCCGAAATACAAAATGTAAATGATTTTATACAGTTTTCAAAAGTCATCCTTTGGATTAAAGCTATTTTCAGAGCAAAATCTTTTTCTAACAAGATCCAAGCTCCAGAAATGGATAGAAATATCATTTGAATATGTTATCTTAAAAAGATTTTATATTCAAGTTTTAAAAAGAATGAGACAGTTATGGTCCTAAAATATTTTATCTACAACCCTCTGTGTTAGTGAGAAGTCAGAATACTAGAATCTAAGCAAGCAAGAAAACTGGGTTATATTTATCATTATCAACAATATGCTCTCATGAAAGGAATAATTCCAAATATGGGGATGGGTTGGAGAGATTCATTTTAAAAAGCCTGGGCATAGCTCACGTTCAATAATGAATCAAAAAGTGGAGAGTGTCATTGCTCTAGTCCCATCTATGAACTCTTGCCTTCCACAAGAGACAGGGCCATTAAGCAGCCAGACAAAAACCTCAAGACTGCTGCTAACTTTTTCTAATGGACAACTCTAGGGCAGTTTATTTTAAAGATCAAATGGCAACTTAAAAGGAAACGATTCCCATTCACGCCCTACAGTAGGATTTGGGGTATGAGAGTAAAGGGTTCTTCAAACCTCACTGCTCCTGCTTGAAAAGAACTCCCAGGGGGATTGACTGCCTTGAATGCTGTGTACCTTACAGCAGAAAAGGATTCTTCTGGGCAGGAGAACAGTAAAGCTTTGACAAATGCTTCAGTGTTGGTATTAATTAGGGAAAACTTAAAATTTGGGAGGAAAAGGTGTTTCTAATTTATTAAACAACTATTACTGCTCCCTTCAGATTGTCATTAACACTGCCTTAGAAAATCACCAAAGAGAAGGTATTTCAAAACCTTCAAACATTTCTTATTTAGTATTTCTCCTTCACTATTTCATTAAAATATGGTAGAGGTCTGCACTCAACATGGCTATTTCTTTGAGAAGGTAGTTAATCATAAAACATACCAAAACACACATTTCCACAGGCACATACACACACGCTCAGGTAGTATTATATTAAATTTAGGTTTCTTCAAAATCTCAGTGTCTTCACAAGGGTAATCAGTATTAATAATCTAAAATGCAAACAGTGAAGTGTCTTTTTTCAAATCAGTACACAGTTTTAAATCTACCTGTTTACAATTTTCTTCCAAGTTTCCTTCTCCAGGCCCAGAGCAGGCTGAAGCTGACCTAGTGGGGAAATCCTCACCTACTCGACTACACTGAAGCGGGGACTGACAAACAGGAAAGGTGTAGGATTGGATCAGACAGAAGCAGCAAGTGCTTAAACCATGGTTATTTGTAAGCTGTATTTCGCTTCTTTTATGAAGTCATCTAGGTAAATATAATCTAAAGCTAAGAATAATAATAATAAATAACAGTAACTACCAGTTTTAAACTTCAATCATTTGCTAGGTCCTTAATAATCATAATCGTTCTACAAGTAGTAGTATTCTTGCTTTATGTGATAAAATGGAAGATCAAAGAGGTCAAAACGAGCCTTGCAAGAGGCAGGCATAGTCAAGCTGAGATTCAAATCTTATTTGATAAGAAAACCCTTAGCTTTTAGATTAGGCCACGCTGCGTATCTATAATCAGAGATTTTTAAATTTTTCAATTAGAAATTTCAACTTCTAAAGGCTATTTATATACTTTCCTACTCCAGGCAACAGAATCTTTGTATTTTCTAGGTTTCTTCGCCAGGCCTTCATTTCCCACATTTCTCAAAACGACATTTGGAGGCTAAATCTGTTATTTCACCTGACAAAGTAGGTGCTAAATGTTACGGAATCACGTATAATAAGCAACCATACAGGGATTCTCAATCCTAAAACATAAATATACCATTAAAAATTCTATCGTTGGGGCCGGCCCGGTGGCGTAAGCGGTTAAGTGCGCACGCTCCACTGCGGCAGCCCAGGGTTCGCCGGTTCGGATCCCGGGCGCGCACCAATGTACTGCTTGTCAAGCCATGCTGTGGCAGCGTCCCATATAAAGTGGAGGAAGATGGGCACGGATGTTAGCCCAGGGCCAGTCTTCCTCAGCAAAAAAAAAAGAATTGGCAGATGTTAGCTCACAGCTGATCTTCCTCACACACACACAAAAAATTCTATTGTCATTACCACAATCCCTTGATTGATGGGAAAAAATTTCCTAATACCATAAAAAATTTGGTTCTCAGTTTGTTCCACAAACAGTAGTAGCAAAACCAAAGCCACCTTCAAACGCTAACAGCAGGAGCTACAACAGCAAAGGCAGCAATGTTTATCTGTGTCTTTACATACTTTACTGCAACCAGTCCTCCTAGCAATGCCTCAGGCAAGTGTTGTTACTCCCATTCTACGAATAATAAATAAGAATTCACGGGTTAAATTACTTGCTCACACTGCTGACAAGTGGTAGAGGCAGAAGTCAAATAGAGATCACACTTTCTACTGTTAACCCATTACATTATCTTAACAGAAACACAATGCATTAAGAAAGGCCTAGTGTACTTCTGTATAGTTTGATCAATACACTAGTCAGGACTCCCAGACGTAGAAAATGAGAAAAGTTCCTTCTGGAATAAAGCAGGCCAGTTACAGTCTGGTAGGGCTTTTCCATCCAGTCCCCATCAGTCTCAGCCTGGTGAACACACTTCACAGGTGACTAGCTTGTGTTCTGGTTTCGGTTGTGCTTCTTCCCTCCTTTCAAAACATCTTAAATATTTAAACACCCCTCTCTCTCCAAAATGAAACACCCCAAAACACTGAGATAGAAAGGGAAACAAAACATTAAAAATGTCAAAGTCATGGTCGGCCCCGTGGCTTAGCGGTTAAGTGCGCGCGCTCCGCTGCTGGAGGCCCGGGTTCCATCCCGGGCGCGCACCGACGCACTGCTTCTCCGGCCATGCTGAGGCCACGTCCCACATACAGCAACTAGAAGGATGTGCAGCTATGACATACAACTATCTAGTGGGGCTTTGGGGGGAAAATAAATAAATAAATAAAATCTTTAAAAAAAAAATGTCAAAGTTAACAGATCAGAGTTGTATCAGCTTAAAAGGTTTCTAAAGTGATTTTACAAATATGATCACATAGATATGGAGAATGAATTACACTGTCTGCAAACTCCCCAAGTACTGTTTGCATAAAATTAATATTCTCCAAGGATGGGGCCAATATGAGAATTTACTGCATAGATTTCTGACTACAGGGCTCTTTCTAAGAAATTAAAGCAGATCCCAACCCGAGAACTTGGTTCATGATCACAAAGTGCTTTTAAATCACCAAGATTTCCCTAGCACCTGATATAACCTTTTAATAACTCTGCAAATGAAAGATTATTTTAAATAGACAAGGGTATCTTTAGTGCATTAATGTGCATGTCCCAAGAAAGTGGACACTACGATCAAAGCTAGTTGCTCCCCCACAGGCCCTAATTATGGTAATGTGCATGTCTAAAATATGTTTCAGCCCCACAAGAGGGAATACTTAAGTAAAATTCAATTACAAAAGCACATACTCACATAGACACACACGCTTACTTACGTGTTATGACTAAAGACAGAAAGTTGCACTTAAAGCTTCTATATTTCTTGGTTGATCATGTGATTTTGAAAATTACAACAGAAATATCTGTTTCTGACTTCCAAATCAACCAAATCACTCAATCACCTCCCAGTGTACCTCCCTAATCCAAAACTGGCTTAATGGTTAAATTAAAGGTTGCCAGTGAAATGTTCTTTTGATAAATGTTGAGAAATTCTGCAGAAGGATCATGAATCAAAAATATTAGTTAATATGAGAACAATAATTTTGAATGAGTGCTTTAATAAGATTTGCCCTTGTTCCTTTGACCTTGGACAACTTAGTTTATTACTATACAGTAGATGCGAGAACTACATAAACTGTGACCCTTCCAAAGAAATCTTGCAGATAATTCTTTGGTTCTCTTCCTTGAACTCCATTAGAGAAGGAGCTAAGTGTTCATTTGCACTTGGAAATACACCAACCTTGCTAACTATTGCTTGGAATCATCCTTTCGTTTTTCCCTGCCTGGACCCAAGTGGTCCACATTATCAGCTCTGGCCCAAGGCCAAAGGACTACATTGGTAGGGGTGGCTGTGGAAGGAGTATAGTACAGAAGAAAAACGTGAGGTTCGTGATTATACATAAATAACCAAAATCAAGTACTTGTAGTCTGAAAGCAGAACTGAGAAATCTGGCTTTTAAAAGTATTTTATAAAGGCTAGCTAGTTTATATATAAAGGAATAATGGCCACATGTAAAACACAAGTGTAGAAGAATATGACACTGACAGTAAGAGAATAACAGAAACAACAAACACTATAATAACTTGTACTTGTGTACTTCTAATGTGTCAGGAATTGATTAAATGCTTTACATATATTAATTAATCTTCACGATAGTCCTAAGGCAGAATACTTTCTAGCAGAATACTTTCTAGTAATAGGAATAATAGTATCCTGTGCTCTTTACTATGTTATATGCGCCTCAAGGTGCCATTTCACAAGAACGTAGCAAATACTTTTCTTCAGCTGATTAAAAAAAACAAGAAAACAACAAACACCTTGGTTTCAGGGTGTCTCAAAAATCTGAATTCCACCTCTGCACCTCACTCCCCAAATCAAAGAGACTATGTTCGAAGTGTGGTATATAATCAGAAGTTTTTTTGCTCTTTTTAAATTCAAGAATTCATTACATTTTCACAAACTCTCAACCACACTTGACCATGAGTCACCTTATGGCCAGGTGGCCTGCAATCTGCAATTCATTCTTCCAAGTACATGTCACAGAACTGATATAAGGAAAACCAATGTCCTTGTGAGAGACATTAAACTACTAGTGTTTTCACATTAAAAAACATATAAAACAGACACCTAAGAAAACCATGAACCCATCATACAAGATTCCAGATTTTCGCTCTGATATTCAAAGGCTGGAACTCGGTGGATCTGAAGAGAGAAGATGCGGGACAAGAGCAAGTCTTGGTTTCCACAGAAAAGGAGTGCTAAAGGTTTGCATGTAGCTGTGTGGGGTGTTTGCAGGTTTCTAAATAAATCTCTTTTTCTAACACACACCTAAGAAGAGTTTGTAATTAAAGCTGTACTTGAGCTCTCTTGGACATACCTTTCTCACGTCTGAACTCTTTGGTTCTGTTGTCCAGGTTATAATTCTAGAAACAGCAAGCCTTGTCTCACTAGAGTTTACAAAATCTGTTGGATCCATCTGCCTAGCGAGAGACTCAATGTACTTCAGGATTGCAACTTTGACCTGAAAGATCCAATAATTATAAACATTAAGTATACTTTATGAATCTTTGAATAGAATTCTTAACTGGTGATCAGAGAAAAGTAAACACTACTCAGGGAACACCCTTCTTTCTCCTGGATTTATGTTTCCACATGGAGTGACATCCATCAGGAACAAAAAAGCATGAAATGACCAACAGGTAAGCTTGGGAACAGGAAGAGTGCCATGCAGCTTAATCCTCTTCATTTTTAGATTATCGTGCCTGCAGAGAAGGTGTGCTCTGCAACTCATGTGTGCTGCAAGATACTTACCGGTAGGAGCTCACATGGGGGAGGCTGTGGGATTTCCAGCTCTGCCAGTGACTGGGGGGGGCGGGGGGGGGGTGCTGCACATGGCAAGTACAACTCTGTTGTTAGTTTTGTTTTTTAGACATTCTAGGCCATGTCTTGCAAGGCAGCATTTTCAGTAATCAACCTGGTACTCTTCCCTAACTTCTCCATTGATGTCTCAATTGGTTTTGACCTCAGGAGGAAAGAGTTATTAGTTATTGGGCCTATCCTAAAACCCCAAGAAAATGCTCAAAGAATAGATGATGTACATGACCTAATTCAAACTGACATATATCCTCCCTCAAATTTAGTCTTGTTATTATAGGTATGATTTTCCAGAACATATAACAACTAATTTTCACGTGTTAGAATGTTAATATTGAAAACATTCCAATAACGGGCCAGCCCAGCAGCGTAGTGGTTAAGTTCACGTACTCCATTTTGGCAGCCCAGGGTTCACAGGTTCGAATCCTGGGCGCGGACCTATGCACCGCTCATCAAGCCCTGTGTGGCGGTGTCCCACGTACAAAATAGAGGAAGGTGGGCACAGATGTTAGCTCAGGGCTAAACTTCCTCAAGCAAAAAGAGGAGGATTGGCAACAGATGTTACTTCAGAGCCAATCTTCCTCACACAACAAACAAAAAAACACTCAATAAGATACCTATCTCAACACATCAGTTTTCTAGTTTAAATATTAATTGTAAAAGTAGTAATAATACACAAATATTGGTAAGGATATGGAACACCTGGAGCTCTCATACATTGCTGGTAGGAATATAATATGGTACAACCATTTGAACAGTTTAAATAAAGTTAAACATACCCCTACCCAATAAACCAGCAACTTCTCTACGAGGTACTGACCTAAGAGAAATGGAAACCTGTCTACAAAGAGTTGTACAAGAATGCTCACAGCAGATTTATTCATAATAGCCAAGTATCATGTATAAAAAAGTACATTTTAAGCACATTTGACTTCTAGAGGTTGCACTGTAATGACAAATAGTTACCAACCTTGAGGTTAGGAGTCTGAGTTTGATCCACAATAAATCTCATCAAAATATTAAATTGTTGATCAAATGGAAAGGAGTCCCTAGATTTAAAAAAACAAAAAAGTACCTGTTTTAAAGAAAGCTTTACTACAAAAAATAATGTAAAACCATATAAGAACCAAAAATACACTGCTGTAGATTACTCTAATGTATGTAAAAGCAAGCCTGTTCATATTTTTAAAATAGTGCTTTTCATTTTAAATAAATACTAAAATAATACACATTATAGAGAAAATTTAGAAAAAAGTGAAATCTTGTTAAAAGTCTCGAAACACATACTACACTTACTTTGAGTATGCTATTTTAAAAATTAAGACCAAGCAATAAACTAAGGAAGAGATTCCTACTTGCCTACTAGGGATCTGCTCATCTTCTCTCCAGCTACCTTTCTGAATACTGCTTACACGAAAAACACTTCCAATTCCCAAATCTTATTTTTACATCCTCACTTGGCTGCTTACAGCTGACTGGGTTGTCCTCCTTGGTCCTAGCTGGGTCACTGCTTATGATCTCTGTTTTGTACAGTCACCACAGAAGTGTGCCTGTGGGTTTCTCTGTCAGAAAAACCCCCTATCCCATATCCAGCTACAAAACAGACACAGAAGCCTGGCGCCCCAGGAGCCCCTCTCCTGTTCCATTTCTTGCCTGTTCTGATCCCATTTCTTATAGTCATCTCATACTTTTAATCCAACTGAGTAACCCTGAGGTCTCTTGGCTAGGAAAATCTCTCTCCCTTAAAATGCTGCAATTACTAGTATTAGTTTAAAATCGCACAATGAAGCCCACGTGGATAATGCAGATGCACCTTTCATTACTAACAGGAAAGAGAATGCAATGCAAACATCTATTACAATTGAAGCTGAGTGATTGCATTGCTTTCTTTGGACACTCTCAGAGACTTTTCTCTATCTATAAAAGTATAGTAAAAAGAACAGGCATGAGGGATCAAATCTATAAAATCATAGGACCGATATAAAATTTAAATGAAATAACACAAGAAAAATATAAAGTGCATGGTGCATACTAGGTACTGGTATTACCATCATTATAATTACTAATAAAAAGTAAACTTGACCCAACAACACATCCTTTTCTCCCACATCTATCTGTATCCAGGAAGCTATGAGGACCACTTCTGGAAGCAAAGAACACTCAATATACATGATTTAAGTGACTCATTCTGGCTAAAAACTAAAGAAACAAAGTTGACAAACCACACACAAAATGCCTCTCCTTTCTTCTACAGCAAGGTGAGAATGGAGAATATACATTTAAGCGACTGGTGTGTTTAACCCAGAAATGTGTCCTGTTGTTAAGCATAGCCAAAGGAAACTGAAGCAGATTCGCAATCAGGTCTACTACCTTAGGAAGAGCTCTCAAACATCACTGAGACCCCCTCAATACTCACTGATTAATCCATTAGTTTAAGAAGCTCTACAACTCAGCTGCTGAGAAAAGGGGAATAAGGATATGCTTTAGAGACTTAGACCAAATCAACTGAGAAGGGGATTCCTGAAGCAAAGAGGCATCCAGGAAAATTAACAGGAAGGGAGAACTGCTTTCCTTAATCACCAAAGTTAAGATATTCCCACCATCCCTAAAAATCTGAAATGGATCTTGCCTTTCATAAATTCACCTAAATTAAGGAAGCTACCTATAAGCCAAGTCTGGCTCACAAATGTTTGACTTGGCTTTCAAAGTGTCATTAAAAAAAAAAATCTCAAATATGTTGCTTTAATCCACATTTCTGACCTTCTTGAAAAGTCTAGTACCCCTGGGCCCACATCCCAACATGGCCACAACTGACTGCAGCTGTCCAGCCCATGAGATAACCCTCCCTCCTGTCTACTTCATTCATTTATTATCAGCTGGATCAGCCCAGCCCCTCTAGGCAACCCCTGGCTAAACCTTTATAAATCCACTGGTATACTGGTGTATAGGAAACGTTCCCTAATTCCAGTGAACTTAATCATCCAAAGGAGGAATGGTGTTTGAAAGCCTTATTGCAAATATAGTATATTACACTGAGTTCACTGAAAATCAAAAGGGAAATCTATTTGGATAATAAAATTCTATAGCAGCACAAATTATGCAGATCTACAGGATCAGGGACCAACAGAAAATAGTTGGCACTATAGTGTAGAGGAACAAATGCATGTTTCGAAGTCAGAGACATCTAATAGACGCATGCATGGGGGGGTGATGGCAGGGCAGGGTGTGCTATTGTCACTGGAGGCAGCCAGAGAGGAAAGAAAAAGCACTAATACTATCCACATTCTCCTACAGGAGAGGAAGACGCATGCTTACAGGCCAGCCTGTAATAATAGGAAGAGACACCAGAGCAATGATCAGCAATCCTGGATTCAAGCTCCCAGACTTCCCCTAACACGAACGTGGCCCTGGGCAAGTCAAGTTGAAGTCTCTGTTTCCTAATAAAATGAAGAAACCCCTTCCATCTGAAAATACTATGATACCTAGTAATATTCCAGTTTGTAGTAACTGGGTCATATAAAAGTTACTGTTCTGATGATAATTTTCTGAGTGACCAGGAGTCATTTGTTTATCCTTTTAAAAATTCACTGATATGACACATCCCCCTCTATCTCCCACCAAATCACAATGAAGACATTACTGCAAAGTGTCTCCTGAGATCACTTAATTTCTAATACTCATATGTCAAGGACTTACAATTGTACAAGCAATAGATAAGAGGTCTCTGAATAATAACAGCACAGTCAGTTTTTTACACTTTTCTGAGTCTCAGCAATTTTTCTTTTCTCATCACAGCCAGAAGGGTTACAACTACAGTAAGTATGTTATCAATCTCTGAGCCAATGAACTGCCAATAGAGACTTTCTGAACGAATGGGAACCCTACATCACACATGGGTAGAAAAACCTGTGTGACTTATAAGAAGCTGAAGTATTAAAAATACTGAGGTCTTCAGAAGAATATAAATAAATATTCTAAAATGATTTTTAAAGAGAAGAGAATCAATTTTCAAAGTTTTATATTTGTTTTTACATTTATTTTAGGCATTCACAAAAACAAGGCCAATTCAAGGAAGATATGGGTATTTCATCTCATGGATTGGGGGACATTTCAACAAATATGTTAACAAGAGAACGTGGGAATTGAGTAAGAGAGCAGATATTTGAGTGGGTGACAAAAACCATGGGTAACAGAAAAGAATGGCAAGAAACCACCTACAAGAGTCTTATAACGTCAAAATGGTCTTGCCTCTGAATACACAGACATTTTCCCAAAGCAGACATACAAATGGCCAACGAGCACACAAAAAGGTGGTCAGCATCACTAATCGTCAGGGAAATGCAAATCAAAACCACAATGAGACACCACCTCTCCCCTGCAAGAACAGCTATTCTGAAAAAGACAAGAGAGAAGTGTTGGTGAGGATGTGAAGAAAAGAGAAACCTCGTGCACTTTTGGTGGGAATGTAAATTGGTACAGGCACCACAGAAAACAGCATGGAGGTTCCTCAAAAAATTAAAACTAAACTCCCATATGATCCAGCAATTTCACTTCTAGGCATATATCCAAAGTAAATGAAATCATCACCTGAAAGAGATATCTAACCCCATGTTCAGTGCAGCATTATTTGCAATAGCCAAGATGGATACAACTTCAGTGTCTGTTGGATCAATGTATAAATAAAACATGGTGTGTATATGCAATGGAATATTATTCAGTCATAAAAAAGAAGGAAATCCTGCCCTTTGTGACAACATAGATGAACCTTGAAGGCAGTTTGCTAACTGAAATAAGCCAGATAGAAAAAGACAAATACTATATGATCAGGCTTATAAATGGAATCTGAAAAAAAAAAAAGCCAAACTCATAGAAACAGAGCAGAATGGTGGTTGCTAGGGGCTGAGGGGTGGGGGAAAATGGGAAGATGTTGGTCCAAGGGTACAAAATTCCAGTTATAACATGATTAAGTTCTGGGGATCTAATGTACAGTGTGGTGACCACAGTTAACAACAATACTGTATTACACACCTGAAAGTTGCTAAGAGAATAGATCTTAATGTTCTCACCACCACCACAACAAAAAAATGGTAATTATGTGAGGTGAAGGATGTGTTAAATAACCTTGCAGTGATGATTTACAATATATACATATATCAAATCATCACATTGTGTAACTTCAAACTTACACAATGTTATATGTCAATTATATCTCAAAAGCTGGAAAAAAATGGTCTAACCCCTAAACACTTACCTTGTGACATCTAGAGCCTTCTGAACTTTTGCTTGCACAGATCCAAGTAAATCTGCTCCCATTTTCTTAAGTAATTGTGTGAGAAGAACAAAAAGCCAGTCTTGCAAGTCATCCTTATGAATTATTATAAAATCCACAAGAGTCTCCAAAAACATGCTGAAAACCTAGACACAAATGAAAATCAAATACTTCACATATTTAATTTATAATTTCCTCCAAAGTCTCCAAAACATTAAATTTTCTCATACTGGCTTTGCCCAGACTCTCATAACCTAGGTTAACAGTGCTAACAACTGGTCATATATTATAGAAGGCAAATATATTACAGAAAATAGATAAAGAAAAAAAGATTGGAACTTACTCTCTGTTGTGAATTCCACAGCAAATCAGGTCATGCAACAAAACAAATTCCATGTTAGTCCACAGTGAATTAATACCATTTTCATGCAGTTTCTTAAAAGACCTGAAAAGGCTACAAACTGATAAAATACTTTCCCTTCCCTTGATATGCCTTTAAAATTTGGTATAGACAAAAATCAACTTTGCTAAAAAATACTAGTTTAACCCTAGAGGCTTTTCTTTCTTTCTTTTGCTTTAAAAAAGCCTTTTAACCATCATAATTCTATACTATTATTGTTCATTATCTAGCATTCAACAAACACTATTATAGGATGAGGGAAAAAAAACTCATGTATATACTGCTTTTCATTTTAGTCATCTATTTTGATGTAAGCCAATTCAGATATTATAAAGTAATATCTTTATAAAAAGGTATTATAAAAGCCATAATAATCTTTATAAAAGATTATGGCTTAGAATAAAAGATACTGACAGTTGACATGATTGTCATGCCGCTGTGTAATCATTACCACTAGCTAAGGTGCGACAGAGCCCACAGACAGTGGAGTATCCCTGAATGGATGTCAGAGAGAGAAGTAGCGTTGTGTCTTCTACCTGGTTAAGGAGTCTTGCTCTACTGGACAACCCAGCCATCATATACCTACTCAGTTCTAGCACAGTAACTATTAACCACCAGCGGTCTCCCATGAGACAGCTCAGGAAAAAGTCACTGAGCCCCAGCTGTGGGATTCCTGGATTAGCTCAGAGGCAGCTAGCAAATATGAACTAAACTGAGACCTCCAAACTCACTGTACAAGAGCCTTCTGATGGAAACAAATTTCCTTCTTTATCCTCACATTCTGGTTCTGAATCAGCAATCTAGAGGTGACAGGTAACAGAAATTTCATCAATGTCCAAAACCTTCTAATATCCCTTATGCTATAAATCTTATGAATCTTATACTTATTCTTTAAATCTTGCTGCTTTTAACACTATCTTAGAGAAAAATCTTGCTAATTATATCTTTGGATATCTATGTGGCCCTTAAACTCAACCTTTCTTGGTTGCTGTGAGGGTCTCAACAGGAATCTTAAGACATACTTCAAGACAGATATTGAGAAGAACTGCTGCCCAAAAAAAGGGAGATTCATTCTCCTACGCCTTCGGTGAGCATCTCAAAAGGCAAGGGTCATTTGTTGTTTTCTGTATCCCTAGCCCAGAGAGGGTATTCACTAAATGTTGAATGAATGGATGGATGGATAGATGTTTGACACTTCAAGGACAATTCCTACGAGGAAGAAAGGGTAGGAAAAGAAGGGAGCTCACAATAACTAGCTGGACTTTCTGGCCATCACAGGTTTCTTTCTCCCAATAAGATTTAGAAAAGACTACTTTTACTAAGAAAACTGTAGCATAAAATAGTTAAATCCTACATGTCAAGCTTTTAAGATTTGCTCATGCTGATTAAGGTTCTGTCAATTTCTACACTTTAGTTTCCATCCTTAATCTATGCTTTAACTTTCCCGATATCGTCATCCCCTCCTTTTCTTTCTTTAAAGGCATCTAACAGCCTCTAAAGGCTTCCTCCAAAACAATGGTATTTATTTAAAATCTAGGCTCCAAGTAAACTTTCGTCAAGGGTCCGTCTCTCGTACCACTCCTAGAAAGGGCCTTGTCCCTCACTCCTGGGTGTCTTCCCCTCAGCAGGATTCCCTTGTCAAAAAGGCAGTCCTCAGGCTCAGGGCTCTCCTTGGGCCTCAGGAGGTGTGGGCACCAGCTAAGTGGCCACCATCCATCAAGTTCTTGGGGACAGCAAAATTCTATTTGGAGAAATAACCTGGTTTTCCAATAAATCCATTACATAATGCTTCCATTTTTCTATCTTGTCCTATATATAGACAACTTCTACATGAGATACAAAAAAATAATTATATACTTGATTATTTTCTTCACTACTGTAACTTAAAAAAAAACAGCACTACATTGTAACACAATGTTACATTCTAGCACCTAGCCCACTGTTTGGCTAATAGGAGGTACCCAAAAATATTTGCTGAATGAATGAAAGACTATATCTGATTCTCTCCATAATAACTCTTACCTAAAATGCACTTTATTTAACTTAAAGTTTTATGGACATTTGAAGTTTCCAAGAATTCCATTTTTAAAAGATGTAAGAAACTACTGCTGAAATTGATGTTAAATCTGCAAGGTCTAATCTACACTTTGGGGAACTATCTCCCATTCTTAAGTAGTATATTATACAGCTCACATAGACATGCAGAGAGGAATGTAAATGAGGCATGTCTCCCAGACTCACCTTGCTGTGAGGGTCAGCAAACATTCGGGTGAAGATCTCACACAATCTTTTCAATTCTACTCGACTAAAGAAAATTAAATGGAAACAAAGGAACTTAAAAAATTTAGTAAGTCAACACAAATTATTTACAGCTTGGCTTTTAAAAATCCTTTTATTTCAGTCAACTACATAAGCTTTATATAATTTTTATATAACGAAATTTTTTTTCACAAATGAATTACCTTATTTAATTCATGATGAAATTAAACAGGAATGTAAAACCATGATAGTTTTGTTCTCGTTAAAATGAGCAAACAATCTCAGAGAGTGATCCCCTAAGTTCATACATGCACAAGTGGCAAAGCCACGAGCTAAATCCTGTTCATTTCATTCCAGGTCTGTTTTCCACCTGCCACAGATGAAAGGCAATGGGATAAACTAGGAAAAGCATGTGTTTTGGACTCAGACAGACCTAGATTTACCTTCAGTTCTGCTATAGACAGAGGACCCTGATACTTTTATGTCCATACCAGGAAAACCGGGGGAGAACCACCTCGCATGGCTGCTGAGAGGATGAAAGCAGGTTCCACATCTTACCTCAGCCGCACCTGAGACAGAGCAAACGCTCACTTCCCATGAGCGCCCCTTTGCTTTTCTGACCCTTGCCTGCACTACTGAGTCCCATTGTACTTCAAGGCTTGATTAGAAATGTCACCTCTTCCCCAAATCATGCCTGAGTAATCCCCCTCATACAGATGACAGAGTTGGCTCAATGATCCTTTAACATTATCAACAACGCAATCTAGATTAGACCAATGCTAATCAACAGATTTCTAGAGATTATTCAAGGGAAACTTGGTGAACAAGAACAAGAAACTGGGACGTCCAGAATTAAACAGATTCTTTAAAAATAATCACAACAAATCATCCTCATTTTGTTTTTTGATAGATCACCAGAACGTTAGAGGCTACCTGCATTTCAGAAGGCATATGACAAAACTTCTCATGACAGCTTCATAACACAAAGGAGTAATGGGGGAAGGGGGCAGGTACTAACACAGTAGGGTGGAGTGAGACTAGACAGCCACACTTACAGCATAGTGATTCATTAGTCAATGCCCACTTAGCTTTGCAGAACCCATCTACGACCATAAACTTATCCAGTCTCACAATTTATCTTTAAAAAAATTACCCAAATAATATAATATACCATATTTCACGGGTTCTAAGTTACCCACTTTTTCACATTTTAACTTCCCTGTAATTCTGAGATTCATCTTATGATTAACGACAATTAGCACTGTCATGGTTTAATAAGCAGCATTTCTTCTTAGAGGGATATAAAATAACCATGTGTCAACAGTGCCTTAGATTTGATGAAATAAGATATAAATACACACTTTTTTGGTAAGTGTAATACGTGCTCAGTTTAGAAAATTTACGAAATACAGAAATGTAAAGAAAAAGCAAAAATAATCAATTTTAGAGATAATATTGTTACTATCTGGAGGAATCCATTTTAGCATCTCTTTACTATGCATATTTATAAGCTATATAACGCATATGTGTATTAAAAATTTTAGACTGAGACTATTATCATTTTACTCATAATCCTAAGAGTAACAACCCGTACCAACCTGCAGCGTTGTTTTATTTTTTACCTAAATTGCAAACTGTACCAAGACTTCTCAAATAACATCAACTGGACAAATGTAAACCATAAGTGAACCAAATGTTTTATAAATCTAATAAATTACAGAGTATTTGCCAGCTATTTCAAAGTCTCTGGAAGGCAAAGTATGGGTCTGAGTTGTCTTAGCACCTTTAGTGCCTGCCCCAGCACCTGGAACTTCGTAAGGACTCTATAAATGATAGGGAATCCAGTTAAGCCCCTGATGAGTATAATATGGGACACAAACTTAGCCTCTTGTCCTTACCTCAGTGTTCTTTGGCTCTTCAGTAAGTTCTGCAGGCCTAGAAGCCCTTCTTTCCTTTCTGACCAGTTTGAACTAGCACAGTGGTTGAGAACTTCTGCTACATCCTCAGTCTGCCGCAGATAATGGGGAATGCCACCGTTCCTGGAACCATATGAGCGCTCAGAGCAAACACTCGAGGCATCACTGTTGGCATCATCGTCAGAATACATCCCATATGGCTCATATCTCCTCCTCACAGGCTTCTTCTGCCAGATCCAATGAGGGATGCAGGTGAGAGAGGAAGAAATGGAAAGGTGAAATGACCATGAGTCATAGCAAACAAAATCAACAACGAAGAGTTAAAGGTAAAAAGAAACACAACAGACATACATGTGCGCACGCACTACATTTTCCCTATGCTTACAGATTAGGGAAATAAAAACAGAAAATCAGACTTCTGTTAGGTATAATAAGTAATAAGCAGAGCAATCCATAGCAGAGAGGAAAGAGTATGGTCTCTAGTCTAGTGTGTGGACTTTTCAGCAGACAAACTTGGGCTGTAACCCTGCTGCCACCACTGACTGGCTCTGTGACTTCAGAAAGCCTCCTAATCTTTCTGCTTCAGTTTCCTCACCTTTGAGATGATAATAATTATACCTCTCACAAGCCTGTTGGGAGGATTAAATGGAATGATATGTTAAATAACCTGGCTCAGCACCTGACACATTGCAAGTATGTGCACCCACCAGCCCCTTCCCAATGAAAAGCAAGCTACCTTGAGCATGGTCTACCAGCCCCTTCCCAATCAAAAGCAAGCTATCTTGAGCGTGGTCTACCAGCCCCTTCCCAATCAAAAGCAAGCTATCTTGAGCGTGGTCTATGGGTAAATTTGTTTCAGTATTCATGCTTCTTTAAGAAAGTCTGAAACGGAAACGTCAGTGGCAGAGTATCCTACGTAAAAGGATTCTTAAATTATCTGAGCCACTTTAATTTACTAAGGACTTAAAGTTTTACAACACAAATAGGCTTCCTGTAGACTATACTATCTGCTTCATTCATTTCTCTTACCCTGCATATAAAACTTTAAGTAAGTTAAACCCATAAATAACATAGCAACAGCTATATAAAATTGATAAAACTTATCAAATACAATTTCTCTAAGAGAAAAACAGATAGTTATTGACTTAAACCATACAAATATAATTTTCTGATAATATGGCTTGTACATACATCACAACTTGCTCAGGACAGTTCTCCCTTATGCTTATTGTCCAGCATAATTATTAAGAGTACCCCCTTTCACTCTCAAAAGAATCTTTGTTAGGATGATAAATTATATAATCATCTTACTTATACATAAACTAGAGTCCTAAAATAAGAAAAATGTTAAATATACCCATTCATGAAATAATGATGACATAAGAGTAGACACAATCTGGGTTAATAAATAAAATGAAACGCTAATAGAAGGAGCAGATCTTGACATTCAAAATAAACACTAAAACAAATGTCAGTGGTGACTGATTCCATCACTAACAAAAGCTTCACTAGATATAACAACATCATAATTCAGACCAAAACTTCTGTTTTGTCTGTATTTTTTGTTGCTTTCACTAGTTTCTAAAGGAAATATACTTGTGACAGAAAAAATAAAGTTGTAAAACAAAAGTTAAAGCACTGGTACCTTGCTCCTGGAGTCTCCTAACAGCTGTAGGCAGGAAAATATTGAAGGATGGGGAAAAAGCATAGAGAATTATGTCAGAAGCATATGTGGGGATTGTTCTTGCAACAAAAGTGTACAGCAACACATATCTTAGCAAACCAAAAATACAGGTTAGCAAGCGATTCATATCAAGCGAATAATAAAAAAGAATGCTTTCACAATGGCATTTCCTAACCCTCCAACACCTCTTTTAAGACCTTCTAGTACGTGCTACAATTCTTTGCTAAAACTCTCCACACATCACTAAGGTACATCTCTAAAGTCACCATTAATTCTGTTGTCTATTTCTATGATAGATTCTGTCTGCCCTGGGGTTTCTATTCTGTGAAGCAAAGATTGTGTACCATTCCTGTGCTTTCTCTTCTGAAGCAGGTCACTCGGAGAGACCAAGCAGTTTGGACAAAAAGTAGTAAGGACAGCACGAGTGTAACGGGAGCTAGAGCTCAGAGAAAAGCCCAAGTCAAGTAAAGACAAAGCTCCAACTCTCGAGTCCCATTCTGCCTCCTAGAACTTTGTACACAGTCCCTTATGCAGTTCTCTAAAGAACCAAGAAACTCCTCCGTCTTAACTGGACGGCCCATTTAACTAAGGGTTTTGCACATCCATCATTTCCCACCCCTCTGACCTGCACTTCCTAGGGTCTCTGAATGAATAAGAGACAAATTCTAAATGCTGCACCTTGGAAGAAAAACAACATCACAGAATTCTGTCCCAGCTTGTGACACTTAAGTTAAAGCCACAGTTAGAGCAATTATCCTGAACTCTAGTACCTGCCAGAAAAAAGAGCCCTTCTACATACAAGGCTGATGAATAGAGCTGGCCAGGCAGCCCCTGCTTACAGGAAAGCATTATGAGAGCAGCAAACTGCTTGCTCACAGCTGGTCAAAAAAATCTGACTGAGCAAGAATAAGTGAGGGAGAGACAGGAAGGGATCAAAGTTAGAAACTCTGTAGCCACAGCCTATAACATTTTGGTGAGACGAACCCTGGCTGGATTTAAAACTTCAGGGTCTGAAAGAAAGGTATTATAACACTTTTCTCCTTAGAAAAAAATAAATCTTAAAATAGCACAAGCAAGGCCAGAGATCAGACAGTTCTAAAGAATATCTATTTTAAATGCTGAGCACATAAGCCAGAATATGCAAGAGGCTGTGTTACTACTAGCTGAAACGCATCTTTAAAAAGCAATTTGACCACAAGCTGATTCTACCAAGGAACTTTTTGCTATAACCACAAATTTAAGGAGCTCTAATCACTATTTATTGTTTTTTAGATACTACATTATAATGATGCAAAAACACATTCCACCAGTGCTTCATATGCTCAAAGAGTTCATCTTAAAATGTGGGAAAGCTCCTTAAATAATGACTTAAGGACTCATTTTAAAAAAAACAAACATAAAATCACATGGAACTAGTGAGGTAATGAAATAAATGCAAGATTTTCAAATCACAAACTGTATTACCTACTATTATAATGATATGTTTAGGCTATGCCATCAAAGCCTGTAAAGCAATAGAAGCAATAGAATGGAAAAAAGGAAATGCTGGAAAAAAACATAGATAAAAAGAAAAAAAGAAGCCCAATGACATCAGAGAAGCCCAATGTCATCAAAAGTTTCTTGATCCTGAGGAGTACAGAAGAAATACATTTCACGCTAATATTTTTTTGTGAGGCCAATATTCAGATATAAAAATTTAAGAAGAAAGTAATAATAATATAAATTTACCCAATATTTACACAATTTTAAAGAGTGTCAAAGATGCTTTAGTAACCTGACTTGGAGGCAATTTCCTGTTAAGACAGAGAAAAATGTGGATGAGTAATTCAAAGAGACTCTATATACATCGTGACTCTTACCAAAGCATCAGCAACAGCAGCTTCAAGATCTGTACTTGTACTCAACACTCGCATGGCGTTTACAGAACCGGGGATTCTTCCTGCCTGGCCAAGCCCAAATCGGTCTATTTTAAAAAACAAAAGCAAAAGGTATGTCACTTTAATTCAAATTTTCTCAATTCTTTGCAAGGGCTCCTGCCTCTTCCCACCTACTGGACAGAGGCACTGAAAAAATCTCTAGCCAGTTTTAACTATACTTGACTTGTAGTTTTAACTACAATTGACTGGTTTACCAGTGGCAAACGTTAAGTTGCTCACATTTCATACTTTAGTGTCACAAAGCATGCTCACAATTAAAATGGTTCTTTAATGCTATTTTATTTTTGAAAAGTGTTGAGACGTGGTAGGGAGAAGAGAACTTCTTATAGAAGGGAGCTGGGCTATAAGTTGAGTCTTGTAATGTATTTAGCATTCCCTCTAGAGGCAAGTGGCTCTGATGTTCGGTTAAACTAATTTAGGTTTGACAAATGAGTTCTAATGCAATGTGTACTAAAAAGTTAAAATTTGAAATAAATGTATTAAATTGATCTCTGCAAATTTTCATTAGTGTCGCTACTGTTTAATTGTTCTTAATTAAGCTCAATTAATTTTACGTACTTGTCATCGTGATGTCTGTGTCAAAGGATATTTAAAAATCAATTTATTAAAATTCTTTAATAATCACGAGAAAAAGCTAGCATCTTCACTGCAAAACATTAATCATCCAGATAATATTAGTATAAATTTTTCCTGAGTCCCTCAAAACATTTTTAAATGATACTCTTTATACATGTAAACAAAATGGACAGAATCCAAAGAATTTAAAACAAATTTTAGCAGTTCAAACAACTATTCTAAGCTTGTTAACGATCGTGGACAATAAAGACTAACTTTTTAAAGTCCGTTAAGTCAGCTGACCAGCCTTCCTTAAGAAGTGCTGAGATTAAAACTATCATAGGAGAAAGTCAGTGTAAATTATACTTCATAAGTGTATCACTATAGACTGGTAAAAGTTTCTTATTTAAAGTGCTAATGTATAAGAAACTTTTCGAAAAATATGTTAAGATAAAAAATGCTTTCTCTTGGTTAACAAATAAGACACTTCTTGGACAAGAAAAATCTCTGTATTAGCCATATTCTAGTAATAAAGCATTTAGAATAAAAGGAAAGCTAATATCTGTTTTACATGAATTGATCTTTCCTATAAAATAATATATTTGAAATTTTAAATATGTAACAAGACATCACCTACAAAATTGGTGAACTTTAAAAGTGAAGTGTTGTTTAGCTTTTTAAAAAGGTCAGTTCCAAAACATTACACCTTCCACAGCCGTAAAAGAGAAAAATATTTAAACACTGCTAATCAAAAAAGTTATACAGTCATGAATTTTTATAAAGAAACAAAATCTGTATGTTACACTATCCCCTTTTTTAATGCATGTGCTGATCATACTGAATGTCATCTTAGTCATTAATATGTTAAAAGGTAATTTAATGTGCCATATAAACTAGAGACCACAAAATAATCATAGCTATGTATATATATAAAGTAACACTTGAAATATGAAAGAAGTATAAATTTGAGATATATTGTGTACATAGTTTTATAAATGATCTTTGTTCAAGTCTTTTTTTTCCATTAAAAAAGGGTAGATAGTAGGGGATTTATGAGTAACAGAATGAAAGTAATTCAGTTATAAGGCATTTAAAAATTACCCAGCATAAACTTAAAACAGAATCCAAAAAAATTTTTAAAAAAAGTAGATCTCATGCCAGCAATCTTGCTCCAGGGATATTACTGATTTCTCAGACACAAAAATTAACACTGTAAGAACAATGCAATTATTTTGTGCTTCCCAGGTGCATACAGCTTTGCCATACACTGTGACCACAGATCATTTGATATATATCATAGATAATTTGAATTTCAAATCTTTAGGGGAAATGTTTGTCTGGATCTAAGCAAAATTATAAGCCTTTTGTTTCACCAGACCAAAATGTGTTTTCCATTCTCACTGCTCTGATACTATTATGAAGCTCCATTTTCCAAGAGATTGTTACATATGACTATGCCCTCAGTTTGGCCCATACTTCAGGGGAATGTACTAATCAGAGTACACATAATAAAATGCACAGCTGGCTTCATTTAGATGAAGAACAGAGAAACTCTCTAACTCAGTGAATTGGTCACTGTTGTCACCATCAACAGTCTGTGGTTGAATCGGTTGTGCCTTACTCAGTTGAGAAAACCGTAGTCATTAGGGACTGTTAGCACATCAAAAGGCTGCCAGTTAAATCGGGCAAATCAATGCATTACTGTATGCTTTCTTTTTGTCCCAATGGCTAACCAAGGGATTTTGGGTGTTGTTAAAACGGGGCTGAGATGGAACGTTTGGGGTCCGCAGGCTGCAAAGGATATCTGTGGCCTGATTCAACTATCTGAATCGTGATCTTGTTTCTTCATAAAAGTTTTAGGACCTTCCATTTATTTTTATACATATGAAATAATGTATTCTATAATTTGAAACATTTGGTAACTAAAAAGCACCTCCAAATAATCAGAACCTGACATTAACGACTAACACTAATAATCAACACTTTATTGGGAGCAAAGACTTTGGAGATGAAAGACTCTGTTGGATGATATCCATACCCCATCTCCCCACAGGGACCCTTCAAGATATCTATTTTGGGTTGTTGTTTTCCTGGGAGAGGGAGTGAAAGAGGAAGAAGCACTTCCCCATTTTTCTATTTTTTTTTTAACATGAATATGAACACTGGAGAAATGATGTTGTCAAAAAGGCTATAGAGGATCTACGGCCTATTAACAGAACCATAAACATTCAACAACTTAAAAAAATAAAAGCACATTGGGGAAAAAAAATATGAGGTGCATACATGCCAGGTGCTAGCCGACACTGATGAAAACAAATGTTAAAATGAGTGTGAAACTAGAACATATGAAGAAGCCAAGTCATGCAGTTAGCACTTGTTCACCTGACTGCCCAACAGATTCAGCAGTGGAGAGAGCACTAGTGGACCTGGAATGACGTCGAGAGGCTGCAGGTAAAAGGAACGGCAACACCCACAGGATTAACACAGAAGTAACCGAGACAGAAAATGCCACAGTCCAAAGGAAGTGCAGGGACTGCTCCCAACAAGGCCATGTTTTCTCATGAAAAGAAATGGTGCTGGATATGAATGGATAGGAAGTGCTGATCCCCAAACTCCACGGCAGCCTGCTGGCTCTCACATAGCTGGTCAACACACAGGTACAACAAAGGCATTCTTTAAGGTGTTCCTTATGCATCAACTAGCTCAGACTCCAGGTTTATATTCACGCCATGAAGCCTCTATCAGCCATTATGGAAATACGTAACACGAAGAACATCAGGAGTCACAGAGCACCATCTAAATCCCAAAGTGGAACAGCACAGGATGGATTATTAACTCAGCTCACAAGATGTCTCATCAATGCGTGATGCATACGTGACCATGCACCAAAAACAAAAGCATAGAAGTTTATAATGTTATTTGAACAGAAATAGAATGAATCACAAGAAGGGGGCTCAATAACTGGGATGCCATTTTCCCCAGTCAAAATTTGTATTGTTCTGTTTCACAAATATCCTAATTATTAATGGACTTGTTTAACTGTTGGAAATTTAGTTGCACTAAGTTTAATGACCTTCCTTGGAGAGGCATTTGCAGTCCTTTGGTTCTGAGCACCGGCTCTGTAATACAACTGGGGGCCAATCCTGGCTTGATCCCAACTAGCTGTAGGACCTTGGCAAAATACTAAACCTCTCTATCTCAGTTTCCTCACCTGTAAGATGCTGCCAATGATGGTACCTACCTCTTGGGAGTTAAGAGATGAAAAGAGATCATACATAAAGCACTTAAAACAGTGCCAGGCACACAATAAACGGTGGCAGTAACAGTAGTGATGCTGGTGGTGTGGTGGTGGCAGTAATGGTTAAGAGCAAGCTCCAATTTATATTTAGAAATTAAATATTATTTTATTAGCAAGTATTCATAACAAGTATATTAATTCAACTGCATGAGGAAACATAGGCTAAATTCCATTCTCATGTGGAGAACATAAATTTTAGAAATAATTATGAAATGCAGACTTGGTTCAAAACATGAATTTATTGACCGAAGTGTCATGCCATATATGGCTTTTCTTTACCTCAGAAAAAACCCAAAAGATAATGTACTTCTATTCATTACTCTGAAAAGAACATGGTGATTGTTCCACAGAACCGTTATAGATTTAACAAAGTCATACCAAGAAGTGCTACTTTCACCCACGCTACTAGAGTACAGTATCCTGTACACGTTAATGCTTACACATCTAGTCATAAAATATGAAAATCTCAAACTCTTCAATATAATTGTATTTACTTAAGCTCACGGCACTTTACGAAATGCACATATCTGTGATATAAGTGTTATTAAATAGCAAAGGTGCCTCGTTAATAAGGACAAATTTTTAACAGTTTGCAAAAGGAAAAGAAAATTCCTAATTCCTCAAGATGCATAAAAATAAATCAGCGGTCTCTAAAACAGATATTATAAAATAATCACTTTCCTTAAATAAAGACGTTGGCAAAAATATTTTCTAGGACTGAAGCAAACTATACATTTATTGTACAAGCACATTAGTATTGTATCCTAATAATTTCAACTGAAAATAGCTTTTAAGCAATACTTGAACTGAAAGTTCTTTATAAAGTTCTCCTTTGGAGTTCCGTTTCAACAGAATATTCTACAGAAAATCTGTCCTTTGTCACATTGTCAAGTGAACACCCAACAATGGAATCCAAGGTGGACTCACTCACGTCAAAGCCTGATTTACAACAGAGTCCTAGAGCCCTAAATTTCACTTAAAAGTTGTCACTGTAACCATATATATATACATTCATATCATTAAAATGGTCCAAAACAATTTTGTAATAAATGCAAACGTAAAACCAATATATATTCACTGAAACATAATTACTTCCGTTCCTTTTTTTTTTTTTTAAAGTGAAGCTTGGCTATATAAGTTGATTCAAAGGGGCATAACACAATCTCATTAATTTATAAGGGGGTGGGAAATGATTATTAAAGTGAATGAGAAAAAGGAGGAAACTTGACATTCTCTGAAGGGCATAGTAAGTTCCCCTGGGGACAACTACCTCTGGGACTTATCTATGAATTCCCAGGTCCCAACCCCAAGCCTGGAAATCAGGATTCAGAAACATCACTAAGCTCTTCCTCTGTGCCTAAGCCTACAGAGGCCTCACAGAAAGCATTTAATACACTTTGGAGGAACAAATGAAAGTCTGTTTATTTGTTATTCAAATGAATTATTCAAAAACACATTATCAGGACTGCTTTCAAATGAGGCAGGGAAAACAGCCAACCTTTGAAGTAAGACCTGGATTCAAAACCTGGCTCTACCACTTAGCTGTGTGACCTTGAGAGAGTGGGTTATTCTCCCTAAGTCTCTGTTTTGTCATCTGTAAAAGAGGGATGATAATACCTGTCCCAGAGGGTGAACAGGGACCACAGGGATTGTGCCTACTGACTGCTCAGAATGGTGCTGGGTACATGCGAGCACTACTGTTGTTCTTGCTGGACAAAAGTTTCATGAACAGATTTAACCCAAGGAGGGAGAACAGGCATGATATAAAAATTCAGCTGAAAAGAGGTTAATTATTGCCTTGGCCACAACAGAAGACACGTGCTGATGCTAGAGTTTGTTAAGAAGAAGTGTCTGTACCCACATCTTCTGCCTTGGTAGTAGCAATTATACATTTCAACATTCTGGGTTGTCACCAAGACACTTAAGCAGATCCATTTCACCAAAGAAAGCGAAAAAAAGACTAGATCACTCAACTACTCAGGGTTCAGTTAGGACCTCAAGAATTCAGCACACCTTGCCTGGTCCATAGAGCACATGCTGGATTACAAAGGTTGCCTCCCTGGACAGTAACAAAAATACTAGTACACGTATAAAATAAAAACACTGAATTGTCTCTAAGAGACAAAATAACCAATCAACAGATTGAATTATTCACTATACAATAGGTTGTTTGGAAGGTCAAATAGTGAGCAAGGAGGCATAGATATAAAGCCTTAACTTAAAAGGAAAAATCACCAGTTCATTCAGAAAAAAATCATCATTGCCATCCCTGATTTGTTGAGAATTCTGACCTAATGCTTCTGGTTGCTGTGGAACAGCTGATGTGTACTAGATAAGCTGCCCCACTTAGGATCTCATGCTTATCAGGTAGAATGTCTCACAAAGGCATCTTCTCACTAAGTCCAGTGGATCATCTAGCAGAGCTTCCACATCTTTTTACCTGCTCTTTCTCAGACCTTCATAAAGCACAATGAGTCATAAAGAAATGTATTTAGATTTTGATTATTGATACTGACTGGGAAAAAACGATACTGGGAAGAAGTGGATGACATTAGAAGGAGAGAGAGGCAAATATTAAGACCTTATGTTTTTGATCTAACACACATCTTCTGTAGTGACATTTTTATATCTGAAAGACCAGTTACATAATTAGAGTCAAAATAACAGATTGCTGCAGTCTACAGTTCATATAATAACTTCAGGCATAGGCCTACTCATCACAGAATGATTTCTACCTGCTGTGCTTATCAGGAGGAGATATATAGCTGTACGGCACTTAATATGCCAGAGAACCAAAACTCAATTACTGAAGAATACAAAATAGTTCTTTTTCGTGAAAGTATGTGTTGACAGATGTCTTGGGGGATTAATAATTTGCATTAGGCAAAAAGGTATATTATATGTCCATTTTAGAGAAAAGCAGAACTATTAAAACTAAAAAGAATAGGTAAACACAATATTCTATAAAGGATATATGTTTTTCTTCTCATCTTGTTTTTCTTGAATCCTAGAATCTGTTAAAATACAAATTCTGGCTATGAAAAAACTGAGGGCGGGGGGGTGAGCAGCCCCAGCTGGCACCTAGCTGGTGATCTGCGAGATGGTACTTCTACCACCTCACGGCAACGAGATACTGTAATTTTTGTCCTGGGATGGCATCAGGTCACAGACATTAAATAGTCTATTTGGCCCAGGAAGAACGAAAATATCTGAATAATTAACAATGAACATGGTAAAGTTTTGCACTGTGCTGTACATCTAAGCAGTCTATCAAAAACCTATTTTTAGATTGCTTTAAAGAAAGCTTTGAAATGACTCATTTAACAAAAGCACAGCTAATATCTTCATTCATGCTGCTTTTTAGATTAATGTTATCACCCCTAAACTGAGCACATTTAGTTTCCTAAATGTTATCAAGATTTTACTTTTTTCCCTTCTTTGAATTGATTCACGTATGGCCTGGGCCTGATCTCTGGTAAAATTAAAAACAAACTGTAGAAATTCAATGAATAAGGATAAATTTTGCATTAACTCTACTTTTAAGCAGCAATGAACTTTAGCCAAGCTTCACCTTGTGTTAGAAATTCCCACACAGATGGGCTTGCCTGGTAGCAAGCAGTGAAAAACGCCAACAGTACAGAGTGAAGTGGTGCTTTTTTCCTCTAATATATAAAAATTGAAAATTGCCAAAACTCAAGCATGCAGAGGGGGACAACAAGGGTAACGAAGGAAGAGGAAAGAGAAGAAAAGACCACAAGGACAGCAGAGGAGGCAAAGCAGATCATCCCACCCAGCAGCGTCTCGGACAAGCATCCGGGGCAGGGAAGGAACTCTGCTCCGAGAGCCAGCGCCTACGTGTACTCACCAAGAGGAGGAAAGCCCCGAGCAGGGCTTGTATCACGGCTGCTCTCACGGCTGGTATCGCGGCTGCACCCCTGACTCATGCTGGGTCGAGGGATACGGCTGCTCCGTGCTAGTGTGCAGCATGAGGGGTTTCAGAGAAGGTGAACAAGTTTAATGACGACAGAAAAACTCACAAAACGTCAGTCACATTCCGTTAATGTAATCATGGCATTGCCCGTACTGGGAGCTCTGACGACTGAGCAGCTATCTGTGCTGAGGGCCCACTGACTGACGTGTCAACAACAGGGGAGGGTTTGGATTAAAACCCGATTCTGCTCAACGCCTCAGAAAGCTGTGGGTTTTAGTATGAAGGTGAAATAACACCTTAATGTAAGAAATGAAAAGAAAGCTTTCCAAAAAGCAAACTGGCATCAGAAAATATAAGATCAAAAAGCCTTTTAGAAATGATCAGTTCTTTTGGCGTTAGCAAACTTCTTGAACAAGATGATAAAAGACCAAAGCCATTTTCATATGCACGGAGTTTTTAGAAATATAAGTTAATTCGGATTAAAAAAACAGAATAAAGGTTCCTGCCACTGAACTCCATGAACTTACCTAATTAAAAGAAGAGGGTTCACTTTTCCCAGCCTGGCCTTTTTCACAAAGAGAATTCATAAGCACGGACACAGCTAGAGAACCTGGCCACTTTGAGTAAGTGTGTAGATGCTTCAGATGCTTCAAATATATTTAATTATCTAAACCAACAGATATAAAGAGTTGGGGCTGCTATAACTTTATTTATTGGTCCCAACATTTAATTCCTGCTTTTTTGATGGGAATCCAAAAAGATTTGCCTGAGGTTCCTACTCAAATGCTTTCCCTTATCCAGCCTTACATATGAGTCTACAGTATGTGGACTGATAACCCCAATATTCGTGTTAAAAGATCCCTCCACCAACCTGAGAACAACTAATTACTTTACGATTATCTATGGATAAGTTTACTGTTCTCACATTATAAAACACTAAGAAGACAGCGCCACGTGAATAACCTAAGGTCTGATATAACTTGGCTATAATATAGCTCAAAAAAGACCATGATGCCCTCGTTTGTCAATTTAATTTGAGAAAACAGAACTATAGTACTGACAAAAGACTTAGAAACAACTTTGCATACTGAATATGTGTAGCCACCTACATAACAGCTCATGGGGACAATAAATATTTCTACCTTGAGTGGATCTACCAATTCTAGATGGGATAAAAATGTCTTTGTCAGAAATTTTGGAAAAAATAAACTTGATTCACTAATGTAAAAACAGCCATGTTTACTATATTGCATTGAGCATAGCCTATTATTTCAGAGCAAAGGTAGATTTACTGTATGGCCAAACTATAACAAGAATGTCTTACAAACCAGAATCATGCAACTCCCTGACAAAGAAGAATACGGATGTGAAAAACCAAACCAGCTTCCTATTGTGGTCTCTCAGTGCTGGAGTTGAATTAGACCCTAAAGTTATGTAAGTGATGTTCAAATGCTTAGGTCTGCCCTGGCAAGCAAGGAAAGGTCAAGCACAGGAATGCAATCTAAGTATCAGTCAAAACACGGCTTCATTTGGAACTCTCGAGTAATTCCTATATTCTCCTTCATTTTGCCATAGTGACATGGAAAGACTGAGATTCCACTCAAAGTAGCAGTGCCTAATCAGCAATTCTACACAACATTCTAAATAGCTCTTACAATGAGGCCAAAAGCAGCAGGTGCTAAATTAAACCCTTAAAAAACTCGTAAGTAGCTGCTGACCCCACCAATATATGAGAAGTTGCCCAGAATCTACAAAGCAACACCGCTTATCCTTAGAGAATCACTTCCACATCTAATTTATGAAATGACCTCTCCAATTCCATGCTAACTCACTGGTCCAGACACTTAGCCTCTCTCAGGCTCCCCTTAGGAAAGTTAGGAAGAAAGAGCCCCATCATTAAAATGAGAAAGATAATTGCTAAGTACTTCTGAGTTCCTAGCTGAATAGCATACATGAAAATCTTGTCTATTCCAATGCTCACTCTAAAACCCTCTAAAACTTTCTATAATCAGAAAGTAATAAAAACAGTCCTGATAGTTTTTCACATATGGGCATGCTTTGTTGAGCATTTTTTTATAGTTCCTGCCTAATTAGTTCTGAATTTTTACCCAGCTCCCACTCCCTTCCTTAAATTTATATACATGCTACAGCAATGGGAAATCTCTGCTCTCTCCTCGGCCTAGCCTGCTTTGTGAAGACAATAAAAAGCATGAAAAAGGATACGTAGATATGATCTGAAATAAGAATATGCATAATTCTTAACAAGGTTTACCCTCCAAGTATTTCACCGAGAGAAAGTTCATTCACCCATTCATGCTAGCTGGTTCCTTTAATATATGGCTAGTAGTAGAATACAGAAAAAGAATTCTGTTCACAGCTTTTTCAAAATCTGCCCATAGTTGCCCCAAACCCCATTAAGGTATATCTAGTGGTGATACCAACAGTTCAAATGTTGGGTAATTGAAAACACAAAAGGTAAAACACCCACTTAGTTATAAAAACACTTCCAAAGACCAATTTACAAGGAGGATTTAAAGTAAGTACATAAATAACTGATTTTTACAAAGACTAATTAATTAGGTGGTCAAAACTAAAAAACAATATACCAAATCAACTTGTTTCTTTATTGAATACCAAAACTGAACGTTCTTGTGAGAATAGGTTATGGAGAACTAGGTATAATAGAGAAGGAAGAGACGATATAAACATACTCGCCATTGGAACTTTCTAAAAGCAGTATTCTTAATTAGCTCTGGAGTATTGTGCTTATGTAGAATGCTAGGAAGCCCTGAAAAACCATTTAATTGGTTTTCATTTGTTATGAGACACTCTGCTCTACCTTTACAGTGTTTTAAGGATAATCCTGACTTTTGCCTTTTAAGGAAGAATTCTACCAGAACTCACATTAAAGTATAAGAGGAAGAAGGAAAACTACCAGAAGTTAAAGACATGAAATGTCTCTCTAGTCTAGATATTTTTTTATTTTGGTCTTGCACACAGTAGTCTAATTTAATAGCTGAAATTGATTACTATTAATTTTGAATTATTTCAAATTATTTTTAAACAGAAAATCTGAGAACATTTTAAACACATATCCATAAACTGTAAGCTGCAAAAAGTCAAATTTTTTTACAGCCTTTTCAACAGATGAGCGGAAAAAGAAGAGAACCAAAGGCAAACTTCTGAAATAACAGTTGCTATAGATGTTAGCTATTTATGTGACTTTATTATGTGTTAAAAATAGAATAAAAGGGGGGCTGGCCCCGTAGTGTAGCGGTTCGTAGTGTAGCGGTTAAGTTCATGCGCTCCGCTTCAGCGGCCTAGGGTTCACTGGTTCGGATCCTGGGCGTGGACGAACTCACCGCTCATTAAGCCATGCTGAGGCCGTGTCCCATATAGAAGAGCTACAACTCTACAACTATGATACACAACTGTGTACTGGGGTTTGGGGAGGAAAAAAAGAGGAAGATTAGCAACAGATGTCAGCACAGGGACAATCTTCCTCAAACAAACAAACAAACAAAAAAACCCAAAAAACAAAAGGGTCTGAGATTGGAATAATTCTTTAAAAAAAAAATAGAATAAAACACAAAAATAAAAAAATTTACAAATATATCCATTTAGTTGAACAGTTTATGAAGGAATAAATTTCCAAGAAAAAAGAAGAGTAGCAGGATTTTATTTTGTTTTTTGGTTACCCAACAGAAATTATATCCTGTTTTGCTTAAGAAACCTTAAATGCTAAAAAAGAAGAGCTTTGGCATCATTTTTATCATAGGTGAGAAAGAAAAATTTAGTTGAGAAATATTACTTCAAACAGAAAAGGCACAGTTGGACCAAACATAATTTGTAGACAACTGGAATTAATTCTCAGTGCAAATTCCAAGCATAGTTCAGCTATGACTAAAACTACTAATTGGTTTGGCGATTACAGGAAATATTCCTTTTTTTTTTTTTTTTGTAAGGAAGATCACCTCTGAGCTAACATCCATGCCAATCCTCCTCTTTTTGCTGAAGAAGACTGGCCCTGGGCTAACATCTGTGCCTATCTTCCTCCACTTTATATGTGATGCCGCCACAGTACAGCCTGACAAGTGGCGCATCGGTGCGTGCCCGGGATCCGAACCTGGGCCGCCAGCAGTGGAGCGTGTGCACTTTACCACTACGCCATGGGGCCGGCCCCTACAGGAAACATTCTTAAAAAACTCTTGCTCATTTTTTTTTGATATTTATATTTAGAGTTGCTTTACAATGAACCAAATGTTCAGACACATACCCATATACTAAATGACCACAGTAATATACAATCTATTAATGAAAAATGTTAATATATCTGACATCCTATAAAATAGAATCTCTAAGCAGTACTACAGAAAGAAGTGGAAAGATATATTTTATTCATATATATATACATATCTTTGTATCTGTGTGTATTCTCACAATGTGCAGAAATTTAAATATCTTCTTTAATCAGATTTGAGATTTAATCTCAAAGCTTCAGACATAACTAATTCCTGTAATAAGCACCTGGAAACAACTTTCTTCAAAATAATGTTTCAAATAAGAACTCCTTGGAAGGGAACAGGCTCCTAGTTAGTTCTTATTGATGGATGTTTCATAGTACCTCTTTTGAAAGCTTATTAAATGCTGTCTTTTCAACCATCTGCAACACAAACTTCATAGTCAAGACCAAGGAATACCAGGTCTTACAGTTACGTCAGATAATCAAGGTTGGTTTATTTCTCAATTTCAAGAAAAGGTAAAAATGGCATCTTTAATAAATATAAAATGTAAAATCCCCCCAAAAAAAAGATTTTGTAAAAGTATGAAACTAAGCTGGATTGCCAAGAGACATCCTATAAATTTAATCAACTCTGGAAAAAGGACAGCTTAAAGCTCACAGCTAGATTTGAAATCAAATGCATTTTCCAAACAAAACCAGATCCAAACACAGATATGTTACAGCATCAAATCTGAAATTTAGATACTCCAGTCATGACATTTTCTCCAGGTGTAGCCACATTACTTGTTATTGGATCCAATAAGTCGTCAGCTCAGGGACCATGCTAAGGTAATGCCAACAGAGTTGGCATCATGTAGAATTAACAAAACCACTGCTTGACTACATTTCTCATTTGCTTTGGAAATGTTAGTCAAACCAAATCCTATCTGTTCTATTTCTTACACATCTGCCCCTGCCTTCTCATAGCTCAGGCAGCCTTCAAGGACTTTGACGAGCTGGACTCAACCAGTCTCTCCCTCATTTCTCACCCCACCCTGACAAACTTCCTTTGCTATAGCCAAGTGAACTACTTGTGGTTCCCAGAATGCATTATGCTCCCTCTCATCTGACTGCTTCTGCTCATGCTCCTCTCTGCCCTAGAACACCTTTTTCCTCATCTCTCCAGCCTGCCTAATCCCACCTTATACTACATCAAAACAGGACCTATTCTGGGAAGCCTCTCCTAGCAGAAAATCGGGGAAAATTGGGGCAGACAAGGACCCTAAGACACTCCTTTTCTATGGTCCCAGTGGCCCCCGTCACAGAATTTGTCACAATGTACACATTTTCACCTCTAAGACCACAAGCTCTTTAAAGTCAGAAGTTAAATCTATTTCATTTATCTTCTAATCCAAAGGTCTAACAAAGTGCTTAGTACATCACAGTAAACATTCATGTAAAAGCTGTGGAGATAAATGAATATATGAGAAAGATAAGCCAACGGGACTAAAGAATACAGTATTTTGATTTCACGTTGATAGATTTTTACCCTTAGAAAGCAGGTAAAAATATAAGAAAGAGTATGAACATATATTTTTCATAATATATTACAAAAGACTTCTAACTTTTATATTAAAAAGGTAGCGTACAAATTAGATTTTAATAGAGTAAAAGAGGTCTTTAAGCTGCTGAGAGTAATGCATATAATTCTACATACTATTACAAAGAAACTAAATATGACACAAAAATAAATACTATATATTTGGTTTTCATCTATTCCTAGTTTTTGTGTTCAAACAATATTATATCAAAAGTAACTATACATATTCTTTGACCATAAGTTTCATCAATTAGGTTAGAGAAGATCAAAATCAAAATAAATGCGGACCCTACAAATTACTTTTGAAAATTTATATGGTTAATGGCTAGCTAATCAGTGAAAGAAAAATGAAAAGCAACATTGCTTCTAATTGTGAAGTAAAAAATCCTGCCCACTCTTCCAATTCTACTATTTTGCAAAATGACTCTAAAACACTCTTGTGTTTAGCCCACAATGAGGCAATTCATTCCCACCAATGTGAATGGTAAGACCCACACAGTTTTCAGTTATAACTGAAACCCGAACATGCCATGACCTGTAAAAAGTGCAAACTGAAATTTTTTAACACAGGCAAAATGACATCCTCAGTTCAAAAATAGATCTCTATTTCCTACATTAGACAAAGTCATTAGATTATAATCAAAATTATGACCAAGTAGAAAATGGTGTTCCAAGATCTTTAAGAATCCTTACCTAATCCTATTCGGTTTGGACTTGTTTCTCGGCTACATCCCTGACTCCTGGGAATCTTGCTTCGTTTTTCTGAAGAAGGTGTCACAGGTGGGCCTCTTGAGGAACTACCAGCAAGGCCACTATAACCACTTCCCAACAATTTCCCTGGGGAACTTGACCGGCTGCCAGCTAAAAATGAAGCAAAACAAAACTGAATAATGGATGTAAACCAGGGAATAAATTATAGTAATTTCAGAAGCCAGTTTACACATTAATTTGAATCAGATACTAAGAGAATTTTATATGAAAATAGCTTTTTAGTTAGTGGTAGCACTAATTTTTTAAAAACGTAGGAGCATAAAAGAACATCAAATTATCATAAAAGAATATTTATATATAGAAGAATTACTGGTGGAGTTCTACTAAAATGATTGCAAAACTTCTGATTCGAAAGAGCAGGCTAAGGACAAACAACCTCCCTGTTCCACAGCAAATTTCTACAAATAACCACAAAGGTGTTTATGTATTGTTTTGTTTTTTTATTCTATAAGAGTTGATATGTTAAAAATTTTAAGTATAACTGCTGGAAGAGTAGAAATATAAATAGAAGAGAAATTTCTTAAACATTAGTGCAAGGAAATGGATCCAAGAAAACTCCACTAATCTAACAAATGGAAGAAAATGGGGTAGGGGGATGAAATAACTAGAAACTTGGTAAATAAAAATCACAAAATAAGGTGACAGGAATAAGCTCAAACTATTGTAATCATAATAAATGGCTAGATTAAATTCATCTATTAAAGACAGAGATTCTTGGATCGGGTTTAAAAAAATGAAATGAAATTCAACTGTATGTTGCTTATAAGAGACAAACAACATACTTAAAACAAAATAACAAAATAGAATAAAACACAGCATTAAAAAATGACAAAAGGGGGCCAGCCTCATGGTGTAGCGGTTAAGTGTGCGCGCTCCGCTGCTGGCGGCCTGGGTTCAGATCCCGGGCTTGAACCAACACATCGCTTGTCAGGCCACCCTGTGGCGGCGTCCCACATAAAGTAGAGGAAGATGGGCACAGACTTTAGCCCAGGGCCAGTCTCCCTCAGCTAAAAGAGGAGGATTGGCATGGATGTTAGCTCAGGGCTGACCTTCCTCACAAAATAAAAGACAAAATATATTTCTTATTGCTAAAAGAATAACTGTCCATAACGTCCATAGAGATAATAATAATCGTGAACTTTTATGCTCCAAATAATAGCTTTGAAATACAAAACATAAAAATGATAAAACTATAAGAAGAAACTGAAAAGGTCATAATTATTAATAACCTCTCAGAAAGACTAATATGTCTCTCAGAAATTGACAGAGGCAAGCAGTCAAAACTATATAGATACGTATAAACACATCTCCCACATACACACAAGCGTGTATCTCAACAAACAAAATACACATTCTTTTCACCTTTCCACACATGGATATTATAAAAACCAACTATGTAGTAAGCCTCAAAGGAAATCTCAAAAATATACCAAAGTTGAAATCATATAGGCCACATTTCCTGAGATATATGCAATAAAATTAGAAATTAAAAACAAATAATATAGGGGCTGTCCTGGTGGTATAGGGGTTAAGTTCATGGACTCCACTTCAGCGGCCCAGGGTTCGCAGGTTTGAATTCTGAGTGCAGACCTAGACACCACATATCAAGCCATGCTGTGACAGATGTCCCACATATAAAGTAGAAGAAGATGGGCACGGATGTTAGCCCAGAGCCAATCTTCCTCAGCAAAAAGTGGAGGGTTGGCAACAGATGTTAGCTCAGGGCTAATCTTCTTCACCAAAAAATAATAATAATAATGATAATAATATGGTTAGTAACTTTTATTAACAGCTAAATGGCTAGATACCTATATAACCATTTCTTGTGGGACAAAATTCTCTCTCAGAGAAAACAGCAAAATTTTAAGGATCATACCAATATACCTGAATGGCAATCATTTACTTAGATCATCTCCTTAGGCAGAGAAGGCAATAAAATTCTGAAACTAAAAGTGCACATTATTATGTACCATAATAGAACAACCAGAATATCAGAATAGAACGACCCAAAGGTAAAAACTTTTGAAATAATACTTTCCTGGAAATTAAACACACACACACACACCCCTCCATTATTCAAAGGAACCACTAAGGTGACTACTCACACAAATTAGTACTTTATAATGATTTAACTACAATTTAAAGTGAAATTCATTGTAAAAATCACCAGTACACATTACCATGAAGAACCTGTCTCAGGACCTATTAATTTTGCCCATAAAATTTGAGCATGCAAATAAACTATTAAGCTGTGTAAAAGGAGAAAAGAAATCCATTTCAAACTCTAGAATTTGAACAGACAGAAACAATGCAGGAAGATTAAGTAAGCTCATAATAAAGAGAGAAATTAATATTGTACAAGGAACATGAGATGAGGGAGAATGCAAAAAAAAAAAAAAAAAAAGCAAGAAGAGAAATGGCTTACCACCAGCAGGATTAGCAGATCTGGATCCTTGATTATGAGAGCAGACCAAAGGACAGGCAAAAAGTGGATTAAAAGACAATAACACATTACAGAAGGTCAGCATGCAACACAAATGTCTTCGTTCACAAACACATTAGTAAAAAAGCTGTTTTCTCTAGATCTTGTTCCTCCTGGTCTATTTTTGTACTTAAGTTTATTTTATACATATAATACTATTTTAGCATTTACTTCGGATCTGTTCATGTAACACTTACGAACCTACAATGTGCCGGGCACAGCACCAGGCACAGGAGATGCAAGGAAGGGTGAGACAGGCGCCTTGCCCTCAGCGAACACGTGTACTCTCTAAGCTCTGAGCAACCGGAGAAAAGTGACTGTGTCTTACTCCACCTTAAACGGTGCTTACCACACAGGAAGTGCTCAATAAACATCAATGAAGTGAAAGAAACCGCAATTGACTAGTTTCACCTGAATGTCCTATGCCACATCCTCTAATATTTAAATATTAATCTTCAAATATTTAATCCTGAAATATTTAAAATATGCCAACTGTTAAGGGCTGTAAATCTAATATTAATGAAATCTACTTACTAGTAACCAGGACTATAAATGCTAGTACATCTACATTTGTAAAATACATGAATATGCTCACATTTACCTCCTACTAAAATAACTTTAAAAAAATATTTAATTTTTATGCTTAAGATTCAGGCTTGATCATTTGCTGGTGGTGTCTCCCTTCCCGTGAGTGGAATTTGGTAAGTAAAGTAAAAGTGAAGAGTTTTTAAAGTGGAGCCCTAAGGCAGGGTGCAGTATTCTTATAGGACTGAAGAATTAAAGTTCTCTCATCACCCTCATCCCCACTACAGAAGGAACTTTAATCTTCACCACCTCTTAAGCAGAGGATCCAGCTAGGGGCAGGGACTCCTGCAGAGGCCAATGCCAATAAACAGCAGACATAAAGAAATGTAAAATACTGTTCAACCATCACTCTGCAAGAAAGGAAATAACACTGCACAGCTACAGGGTTAGACATTTTTTATTCAACTCAATTTCAACATATTGACCTATATTCTGAGTCTTGAACATTTTTTGTCAAGAAAAATTTCTTTGCAATAAGATCTGAATCACATTTATGAGGTCATGACCAGAGTATTATATCCATTTGTGACTCCAGGCATCACTAGGGTTCAACAGAATAACCAGAGCCAGAAAATTGTTCCTAAGGTTCTAGAAGCTTCTGGGCTACACTTGCACAACCTATGTTGTGTTGTGTGGTGTAATACACTAAAAGTATGGGCTTCTTTGTCAGACAAGCCTGGGTTCTGTAGCCTCACCGAAGGCAGCAATATGACTGACCTCGCACTTTCTTTTCAGAAGGGATATAAGCTTGTCTAACATGAGGACTATACTTATCAAAGGGACATGGAAAAGTGTCTACATTCAGAAGGAGCTGAGAAAGGCATTCTAAATACTAAGAGAGAACTTAAGGTTTGGCCGCAGACGAAGTGCTTTCTACACAAGCCAGACAGCTCCAAAGGAGGGCTGCAAAGGAGGCAGTAACACGTCAGCTGAAGAGGGCCATGCTGAGGACACACGTGTAGCTCCTGGGGAAGGGGAGTCTTCCTCCACCATGCTCACCTTGCCCAGGAGAACCCTGATACCCAGCTCTACTCTACACGCACAGAGAGGGAGTAGGGGACTCAAAGTCACATGTAGCTGGGAAGTGAGATACCAGGGCTGGATCCCAAGAACAATCAGAATACATTCATTCCATCTATAGCTGCGGCTACCAAACCAAGTGACTTGACATATACAGAGAAGCAACAATGGAAGTGAGGGCAGCTGGGCAAAGCAAGAGCCCACACCGGTAAGAAGAGAGGAGCAGGCTGCAAATGTTAAAACAGAGGGTTACATGGCAGAGCTTTTAATGGATTTACTCAGGACCACTGGAAAGAGAACTCAGCAGTAATCTCCCCAGGCACTGCTCTGACATTACATCAGACGGATTTCTTATCAATAGAAAAATGGGTCATAGTCCAGGTATGTTTCAAACTGAGAGGCTTGAGGAGAGGGAGAGAAACTACATTTTAATGTTTAATGCTTAATGATACAAAATTTAAATCATCTGGATAGGAGACAAAAGTACACATCAACACTCCTGTTTTCTAAGCTAACCCAACAGGCATTAAGACTACTCACAGTATCTTAGAGCCACAGAAATGTGTTTTTCCCCTAAAGTCAATGAAAATATCGTAAATTTTTCAACTGCAGAATGGGCTGTTGAATAAAACTGAGGTAACAGAGAGCATAAATATACTTCTTACGCTGGGACTGTGAAACCACTTTAGCGCGACTGCGGCCTCGACTGTCGGCAGGTGTAGAGGCAACGTTGGTGGCACTCCCAGAGCTTTGCCGTCTAGTGCGGATCCGACCTGGAGGACACAGCAAAAACAGTGTTTCTATAACATTCTCCAGTAAGTGTGATCTACTTAAGAAAACAACCCATACATGAGCAAGGGGCAAGGACTGGGCCTCCTACAGGGGAGAAGCTCTTCTCCATGTCTGCTCCTGACACGTCTCCCTGTGCATACACACATGCATACGGTCTGTACACACAAATTCTACAGTTACTTTAGGAACCCGAGAGTGAGTCATGAACCTATCAAGTGCTTATGTTTCAATTATTTTAGTATATTATATTTTCAGATGAGGAGGTGATATCCATTTGAGGATTTTTTTTCAACAATTTTTTTCAGATTAAATTCGTGGTTTTTTTGTCTACAAATCTGTCAAATTTCCAAAAACAGAGAAGAAAATATTAGCTGTCATCTTAAGAAAAACACTATAGAAAAAAGGTATATGAAAAAAAAAAAACTTCTTCACTCAGGACTCAACAAAAGCTACAGCACGCTGGAGAATAAATGTGTTCTGATATGTAGCATTAAACTTCTGTTTTAAAGCATGTATGCCAATAAGTTTCTAGACTGCAAAAGACGAAGATAAAAAGAATCAATACTAGGAGTTCCTAGAGAAACGATGACCTAAAAATAAACGCAATGTTGTAGGCATTTATGAAAAGAATTTGCCATTGTTAAGTAAAGCAATCTTTTAACTCCAATTATTAAACCATGAAACCATGAAAATAAAAATGAATTCAGAAATGCAAAATCACTCATGATCAGACTAGTATGACCAGGGATTAAACTTTTTTTAAATTCAGGGCGTCTTTGGTTTCAAAGGGACACAAATGCCTCTCTTGCCATAATTCAATCAGAATAGCAATCTAATAGGGAAAACACAGACCAATTTGAACTCCCACTGGCTTCTTACATTGTTCAAAACCATTTCTACTTCATCATCTGAGAAAGCCTGCAGAAAAGTAATACAGAAAAGCAAATCCTAAGGCTTAAAAAAGGTTCAAGAAAGGGAGGAAAGGCGCAATAAAAGAAAGCACTTCCTTAAAACAAAAAATTAAAACTAGAAAGAAGCAATGACTTTTAATAGCAGTTTAAGGAAAGACATGCACAAATTCTAGAATCTATACTAAAATTAAGAGCTGTACCATATATTATACTAAGCTATGTATGTGTAAACTCAGAATTCTCACAACATATAAAGCAATTATTTCCATTTTTCAGATGAGCAAACAGAGAAAGAGGAGGATTAATTTGTCCAAGGTCACACTACTGGTTTAGATACCTGCACCTACCTGGCTGGCTGGCTGGCTAACCTAACACTGAGGGCACTTCACTTACCTAAGAAGTCACTGAGCTAAACCAAGGCAGTGACTAAAGCAAAGTGAACATGAAAAAGCAACTGAAGATTATTTTAAATTTATTATAAAATATTTAGGTCACAAAAAGATTTTTTAAATGAACATCCATACCCATTCAGTTTAAAAAGTAAAAATCTTCTTTGCTCTACATTCCCCCAACATTTAAGATGATCCTAAACTCAGTGTTCATCATTCTCCTGCATTTCTTTACAATTTATAATATATACATAGGTGCATAACCAAGAAATAGGTGGCATTATTTTATATATTTTTAATGTTTTTAATTATGTATTCTCCCAAAACTTATTACTGTTTTGCTCAACATTTTATTTGCGAGGTCACTTATGGAATTGATTTTTCTGCAGGAAGTAAAGGAGAGATCCATTTTATTTTTTCCATATGACTAACCAATGTCCACATAAATTTACTTAACCCTTTTCATATTGATCTACAAAGCCATCTTCGTCATTTTATTACGTACTTATACATATGCAAGGGTCTGTTTCTCAGCTGTCTAGTCTGTCCCATCAATCCATGTGTCCACACCTGCGCAACATCACAATGTTGTGATTAGCTTTTTTAAAAAATCTTGCTAATTGGTAGGTCATATCAATCCACTTTTTCCTAAGGCCTTTTGCTCTCTCTTCCATATGCATGTGAAGATACAATAAAAAGACCTGTTGAAATCCTGACTAGTATTTTCTGGAATTTTGGGTTAATTCTGGGGAAAAAAGATAGCTTTATGATATTGACCTTTCCATTCATTAATATTTTATTTATTTCACTTTCTTCAATGTCTTTCAATAAAGCTTTATAATTTTTTCCAAAAGTCTTACTCAATTTTTATAGACTTATTCAAAGGTACCTTATTATATACATTTTATTAAATTGTATTTTCTGACCTATTGGCAAATAAGAATGTAATTAATTTTTATACTTTGATCTTAACTCTAAGAACCTTGCTAAGCTGTCATTAATTCTACCAATTTGTATGTAGATTATTTGGGGTTATCCAAACAGAACATCATCTACAAATGAGACTACAGTTTTTTCCCTTCAATCTCTGCTCTCTCCTTTCTCTGCCTTTATTCTGCTGTCTTTGACATGTAGTACAACACTAGAGAGAAGCATGAGGGTAGGCTTTGCTGCCATGAGCCACCATTTTGAAAAAATAATTCTGAAATTCCACAAAAAGTATGACATTTCAACAGGTTAAGAAAACTCATTTCTATTCCTAATTGCTCAGAATTTCTGTCAAAAATGTTTGTTGAATTTTTTAACGCTTTGTCTGCATCTTCTGAGATAAAAGCATTCTTTGCCTAAATGTGCTAAGCTGCATCAGTAAGTTTTTAAAACTATTAAACCTGGGCTAAACCTCATGGTCATGAGGTATCCACTCACATACACAATTCTGTATTGTACCTTGTCTGATGCTAGTACTAAGGGTACACAAGCCACATAGAACCAGTGAGGGAAGTATTCCCTCTTTCTATTCTCTAAGTTTATGTAAGACTGGAATTATCCAAGTTTCATACAACTTGTATTTCTTAATCCTCTCTAGTGAATGTTTAATTGATATTTCAGTAACTTTTACTCTTATCTTTATTATTTCATTCCTACTCTTCTTTGGGTTTATTCTTTTTCTAACAAGTTGGAAACAAACTCCTAATTCAATCTCTCTTCTAATATAAACTTAAGGCTATGAATTTCCCTCTAAGCACTGCTTTTGCTTCATTCCACAAGGACTGATATGTAGTTCAACATAATGTGTTGGTTTTTTTTAACACATTACTGGATCTCATTAGCTTATGTTTTGCTTTGGAAAAATAAGTTGGATCCATACTTTACAGTACTACACCAAGAAAAGCAACAAATGGATCTAAGATTAAAATGTGAACTATGAAACTATAAAAGTTCTAAAAGAAAACATGGGAGAACTCCTTTGTGACTTGTAGTGGAAAAGTCTATCCTAACTATGACTTAAAATTAAAAACCATTAGAAGAAAAGATTGACAAATCTGACTACTAAATTTTTTTAAAAACCTTAGCATGGCAAAAAGAAAACTATGAGCAAATTAAAGAAAATGACAAATTCAGAAAAATTATTTGCAATTCATATCACAAAGGCCTAATTTCCTTAACACATAGATGGTTCCTAGGAATCAACAAGAAGTTCAACAACCAGCGGTGTGCTGGTAAATGTTTAATAATTGGCGGGGGAGGGCCGGCCCCATGGCTTAGTGGTTAAGTGCACGCGCTCCGCTGCTGGTGGCCCAGGTTTGGATCCCAGGCGCGCACCGACACACCGCTTCTCTGGCCATGCTGAGGCTGCGTCCCACATACAGCAACTAGGAGGATGTGCAGCTATGACATACAACTATCTACTGGGGCTTTGGGGGAGAAAATAAATTAAATTAAAAAAATAATAATAATAATTGGCAGGGGAGGGGGTGGGGGCTGCAGGGGTTGTGATGATCTGTGGTGTTTTCCAATTTCCCTGATGTAAATATTCCCACCAAGGCCAATTTAGGTTACTGATATGATGTTAACCAGCTTACAAAATTCCTGTAAATTTAACAATTGGCTCTCATGAACTAGTTCAGGCCAGCTCCAGCACACTATGGCCACAACCCAATAAAGAATGGGCAAAACCTAAGAACAGACAGTTAATGGAAAACAGAAATGGCTCTTAAATATATATAAATAGTGTTCAGTCACACTCAGAATAAGAAAAGAAAAATTTTAAATGACATTAAGAATGCCATTTATCACCTATCAGACTGGCAAAATCCTAAGAATTTGCGGGCCCGCCTGGTGGCACAGCGGTTAGGCGTGCGCGCTCCACTGCAGCAGCCTGGGGTTCACTGGTTCAGAGTCCGGGTGCACCCCGATGCACCACTTGTCAAGCCATGCTGTGGCGGCGTCCCATATAAAGTAGAGGAAGATAGGCACGGATGTTAGCCCAGGGCAAGGCTTCCTCAGCAAAAAGAGGAGGATTGGCGACAGATGTTAGCTCAGGGCTAATCTTCCTCACACACACAAAAATAAATTCTAAGAATTTGCTAACATTCTGGCGTATAGGAAAACAGGCACTCTCATTCATTGCTGCTGGGAGTAAAAATTAGCCCTATAGAGGATTGTTTGACAATATCTATCACAATTACAAATGCATATACTTTTTAATCCAACAATTTAATTTATCCTATCAGTATAGTTGCACCCATGCAAAATGATGTATGTAAAAGGTTATTCGTGGCAGCATTGTTTGTAAGAGCAAAACTTCGGAAACAATCCAAATGTCTATCAATATGGGCCTGACTGGTCAAAGTTAATCCATACAGTGGAAACTAGTACAGCAGTAATAAAGAATGAAGAGGTTCTCTTTAATCTAATATAGAAGGATCTTAAGACATTAAGTGAAAATAATCAAGATGCAGAATACTGTGTGTAAATATGCTACCTTTTATGTTTAAAAAAAGAGAGAAAATACAATCTTTATATTGCTTCTATATGCATAGAAACTCTGCATAAAAATGAAACTACAAGTGGTAATATATTGGGCTTGAGGGGAAAGAGGTTATAATTAGGCAAATGAAAGAAAAGGATGGGAGGGAAACTTAACTGTATACCTCTTTATATTTTCTGAGTTTAGAACTA